GCTACACTTTTACCTGATTTCTTAAAGGTCCTCGATGATTACAGGTAACCCTCAACAACAAATCCTCGAGTCTTGTTAGTTCTCAAGGGTGAAGTAGTATCAGCCTCCAGTTCAGCTCACTCTCCGATTCAGAATATAGATTACCTCCACTACACTCAACCTCTTCAGAACACGATCGTCAGGTTTATTTCTTTGTAACTGTTCAATTAATCTTAAATGAATACGTAACAAGGTAGATAAACAATGGGTTTTTGTTTTGTTTTAGTGTGGTTTAAGGTTTTGGTTTAATTCGTTTTATAGGTAGGAATTAAGGTGAGGGTTTAAACTGAACGTAAGGTTTAAGTTTAGTCTCTTGTGAAAACCCGCATAGTGTCTGGTGACGTGGGCACGGTCCTGCATAATTCCGATTCTCTTAACATAGTCCTTAGGTCTCTTCTTCCTCCTCCTCTTCTTCTTCTTCCTCCTCCTCCTCCTCTTCTTCCTCCTCCTCCTCTTCTTCTTTCTCCTCCTCCTCCTCCTCTTCTCCCTCCCCCTCCTCCTCCTCCTCCTCCTCCTCATAGCCCTTACGTCATATAGTGCTCCTATGTCATAGAGAAACTGCTACGAATCGATAACCTGACACTTATAAAACTTGGCCTTCCTATAGTTGAAATTAATCATATATCTAAAAAAAAATAAATCTACTTTGACCAAAAAAAAATATCATAACTACAATTTATTCCATTAGCACAAAGTATATTAGGATAAGGGATTAAGATTGGTTAATTAATCCTGATGAAGTCTAGGATAGGTATTTATTTATCCATATTTAAATAGTTCAGAAATCAAATATTTAAATGAGTTTTATGAAATCTTTAATCAAATTTTATTTACGTGGGTAACACCGGCAGGATTTATTACCCCCACCAGGATATATCTCCCCCACCAGGATATATTTCTCCCCCACCAGGATATATCTCCCCACACCAGGCTATATCTCCCCCACCAGGATATATCTCCCCCACCAGGATATATCTCCCTCCACCAGGATATATCTCCCCACACCAGGCTATATCTCCCCCACCAGGATATATCTCCCCCACCAGGATATATCTCCCTCCACCAGGATATATCTCCCCCACCAGGATATATCTCCCCCACCAGGATATATCTCCCTCCACCAGGAATGACGACCACAAATCTCTTCGTGGATTCCTCTGTCAGGTGTTGAATTCAATAGCTGACGTTGTGTTGGAGAAATACTCGCAAATTCTCGGCTAGTCCGACTATTCTGCAGACTCACACCGAGAGCAACTCACTAAATCTGGAGGTTGACCTAATATTCCTCCTGTTATTAAACTTGGCCTCAGGGTAATTACTAAAGAGGTCAACCTGCTTCATAATCAAGAGGTAATTTTCATAAGAGTCATCCCAAATGTATGAAGGAAGCATAATAGAACAAAAACATCATACACTGTTAAATTAACCTGAGCGTATGTAACAAGTTAAAAACAAATGCAATCTTTTATTAACATCCTCGTGACGTGTAGAGCTGCAGGTCCTGTAAATAATAACAATGGCTGACCCAAGGACAATATCATAACAAAAACAACAACACAGGTCCCTCAACAAAAACAACAACACAGGTCCCTCATAGTGAAAGTAGGTGAGGAGAAAGCACCGTATAGACACACACTCTCTCTCTCTCTCTCTCTCTCTCTCTTCTGTTGTTGTCTAGTTTTGTCTTGTCTTCTTCTCTCCTCTCTTCTTCTCTCGTCTGTCTGTCTGTCTGTCGTTCTCTATTTCCCCTCTCTCTCTTTCTCTCCCCCCCTCTCTCTCTCTCTCCTCTTGTGTTTAGTTGTTGTTGTTGTTGTTGTTGTTGTTAGCGGGAACACTGTTGGCGACACGGGGTAACAATAGATGAAGTGTCTTGTCATCTTGTCGCAAAGTTTCCCCGCCAGAGCTAATATTAGTTTGTGTGTGTGTGTTAAGTCTTTAGGGAGCCTCGTCCTTCTTATACTCCACTACTTATACTCCAGAACTTACTTATGCTGAAGAACTTATACTCTAGACCTTATACTCCAGAACTCATACTCCAGATATTCTCCCGGACGTATAGACTTTCTTCTGTCTGTGTTTGGGAGGCGTTGCCATGTTGGTGTTGTCATATTGGAGTATATATTGTGATAACAGACGACTTCGATTGGGATTTATAGAGACGGACTTTTTTATTTTTTTGTCCTATAGTGTTTCATAATGTATAAACGAAATAATATCACTTACTAAAAGACAAAAAAACATCGCTTGCTCTTTGTGCCATAGTGTTTATTAATGTATAAACGAAAGAACATCGCTTACTAAAAGACAAAGGAGCATCGCTTGCTCTTTGCATAAACGTATCATAAATGTGTATAAAAAGAATTAAGGTTACTAAATTACCCTGACATACTATCCATGTATCCCGCCATATTGCTTTTAATCATATATAAATATTGTTTTTGCATTTATTTCCCCAGTTTGTCGATTAATAACAAATAAATTGTCAATTTTATGAACAGAAGTAAATGGAAAAGTATATACAGTATATATTGCACTTTTACTGTTTGCAGAATACCATTACTTTGGTTGATATGATAAATGAACAACGTATGCTCATTCATGGTGAACTTATTGCAGTACGTTTATTTTTTCACAATATATATAAAAATGTCCAGAATTTGTAGAGAACGTCCAGAATTTGTTGAGGATATCGTGCTAGTGGTAATATTGACTACAGTGGCGCTACAGTACAGTGTTAAAGTGTATTTGAGTTTATTTAACTTCTCTACTGCTCTAATGCACATACAAACACGGACATACCCGCATCTATATTCAATGAAAGATAGATGTATAGATAGATGAGGAGAGAGAGAGAGAGAGAGAGTGAGAGAGAGTGAGAGAGAGAGAGAGGTAGGTAGGTAGCATGGTAGTATGATAGAATGGTAGTGTGGTAACAGCATAGTGTGGTAGTGCAGCATAATACACCCAGCATCAAGAGACAAACAGCCAATGTTAGAACCCATATAACCTAACCTAACCTAACCTAACCTAACCTAACCTAACCTAACCTAACCTAACCTAACCTGGAATAGTAAGGACAACTGATCGCTAAACACAAATTGCATTACAGAACAAAACCCAATTTACGAATGGAATATATTGCACTGTATACCAGGACTTAGTCTAGCTGTCAATTTCGTTTATTAACTTACTTTATAAAACAACATTGATGGATGGTCGCAAAGATACCTAGTGATGAGTTACGTTACAGGGATACAGGTAAATACAGTACAGGTAAACTCGTTAATTAACCTGTTGGTATATTCTGTACCTGTGTGTATGTATGTATGTCATTGATTCCTCTGTAACTGCTGTAATAAAGATGCTACACTGTATTATTTACTACCACCATAACGCGACCCTAAAATAGTCTTAACAACATTAACAACAACAGATAACTACCTCACCAGATCCCTTCAATCAGTTCCTTCTACACAAGAATCAACCATCACTCTGAATAACTAAACATTAGCTGTAAATCCCCCCTCCTCTTCCCCTTCCCACCTCCCCCACCTCACCTCCACCCCCCAAATCTCACCTCCACCCCCCAAACCCCTCAAAACCCCACCTCCACCCCCAAAACCCCAAAACCCACCTCCACCCCAACCCTCACCTCCACCCCCCAAACCCTCAAACCCCATCTCCACCCCAAAACCCTCAAAACCCACCTCCACCCCCAAAACCCCTCAAAACCCACCTCCACCCCCCCCAAAACCCTCAAAACCCCCAATCCCAAACCCTCAAACCCCACCCTCCACCCCAAAACCCCTCAAAACCCCACCTCCACCCCCAAAACCCCTCAAAACCCCACCTCCACCCCAAAACCCCTCAAAACCCCACCTCCACCCCCCAAAACCCCTCAAAACCCCACCATTTTATATTATATCTCACCTTGAATTGTCTCACTGAAATGTAACCTCACCTTGGAGCTCACTTAACCCCGCAGCAACACAGAGGCGCCTCACTGAAGGAGAAAATGAGCTGTAAGATGAATGGGGTGTGTGTGTGTGTGTCCCTCTGAGGTGTACCATGTGTGTTTAATTGGCTTCCAGTCCTCTCCTGTTGCACGAATGTTATATAATCTTTTTGACTCTCCTGTGACACATTAAGGTGGGACCGTGGGAGGTATTCGACTCTAGCTCAGTCGATGGTGTTGTTCAGTAGTGAGGAAGAATGGTTCAGTGTTCATGTGCCTAGCTCCCATGGGTGTCTGTAACGTTTAGAGGTCTATGTATATTATCTGACTTGTTGTTTGGGTTAAGTTAGGTTGTCGGGATAATTTTGGTTTTTTGTGTTATGGTTATTGTGTAGTTATGGTAGGTTCAGTGTAATTTTAACCCCATTGTTTGTTATTTATCTAGTTAAGAGTCTCATTGTAGTTTTATATCTTAACTGGTTTTAAATTCTTGTAATTTTTATGTTATTTTGGGGGATTTTAATGTTTTGTGTTTCACCTTAACTCAGTCACTTAAGTGTCATCTTACACTTCCACTTAAGAGGTAAATGTAACAGACGAACCTTTGAGAATTTGGATCATGGCACTCGGTGGTATGCTAGCTTGGCACTGCTCTCCGGTAAACAAGTGGCACTGTAGACTAGTCCTCTGAGGGGCATGAGTCTCAGCACCGACGGAATGTGAAGTTATTAAAGTCGACGAGTTGGAGTTTCCTTTTGTACTGACGAAAAAGATTTTACAGTGTGTGGCGGCCATCACCCAAATATTCATGAGGCCGCCGCACAGAACAAGGAATTTAATAAGTACAGGGAATTATTCTGGTCCTTGATGCTACTGTCAGTGTGTTAGGCGGACTCAAAGGAAAGTTCATAATATGGAGAGACGTTGTGTTTGGATGTTTGAGACACAAGAGAGGAATGTGTGTTTTTTTTTAATTATTCACGTTTTATTTTTCTTGTGTTTACAGCGACGCGGCTACTGTCAGGGTCGGGGTCTGGGCCTCTGGAGTTCTCTGAGCCACGCTACTGCGCCGTCCTCTCTGAAGATGCCCAGCTGGCGGCCACCGTCCTGGCTGTCACTGCCACACATAAACAAGGTCAGTCACACCCTCCCCCCCCCTTCTTAACTCTGTGGCGTAAACTACTCTTCCTTGTCAGATCTCAGACCCTTAATAGCTGTCTTCTCTGTTACTTTCTTCTTTATTTGTAACGCTGTGTCACATCTCTCTTTCTCTCTCCCTCACCCATTTCCTCCCTCCTCCCTCCCTCCCTCCCTCCTCCTGCACCCCAAATGAAAACAGTCTTCCTGATATCCGATTCAAATGAAATTCGGGATTACGGTAACCCTAGTATCCGATGACATTATTTGTGTTAAGCCGAAATTTTATCTTTTTGCCACAGATTTGCCATTGATGAATAATATAGGCGACCACACTACCTGACACAACTCACACTCTTGTTTCACTACTTTATTCAACTATTCTCTCTCTCTCTCTCTCTCCTCCCTCCCTCCCTCCCTCTCTCACCTCCCTCCTCCCTCCCTCCCTCCTCCTCCTCCTCCTCCTCCTCCCTCCTCCCTCCTCCCTCCTCCCTCCCTCCCTCCCTCCTCCCTCCCTCCCCCTCCTCCCTCCCTCCCTCCCTCCCTCCTCCCTCCTCCCTCCCTCCCTCCCCTCCCTCCTCTCTCCTCTCTCCCTCTCTCCCTCCCTCCCTCCCTCCTAGCTCCATCAGCGACTTCCTTTCCTATAAATCAATCATGAGTTTGGGTCTTACGTTAACTAAGCAATTAATAGAGAAAACCTTTAAAGAGAGATTGTAAAAAGATATATTAAACCTAACCTAACCTAACCTTTACCCGTTGTTATTTTTCTTATAAACACACATCCTTTTATCACCCTTATTCACCCTTTATCACCCTTTATCACCCCTTAACACCCTTAAAATTAGACAAAACTACATCTACAAAATTCTAAAAATTTCTAAAAAGTAAAAAAAAAAATACTGTTTCCAATATATTTCGAACACCTTTTTTGTTTTTAATATTCTTGAACTATTTTCCCTTATGAAGCTAAAATCAGGTCATAAATAACATAACCCTGTACGTGGGGGATATTTGGGTTAAGTAGTATGAGCAAATAATGAGGAAAAAAGTTGAGAAAAAATGACTAAATATTTTTTTTTTTTACGTCACCATCATTAGCCTTAAGTGAAGTTTGTACCAAATGAATGAGTCACCTTGAAGTATTACCCTGTTTGTTGACCTTGTGTGTATATGTGTGTGTGTATGTGTGTGTTTATGTATGTGTTTATATGTATGTGTATATGTATATTTATGTGTATGTTTATGTATGTTTATAGATATATGTATATGTGTTTATGTATCTATTCAAACGAAAATCTCTATAAAACAATGATACATAATCCCTAACCAAAAAATATATACTAATTTAACTAAAGAATAAACTACAATGAGCTGTTACTACAATGATGTTACTGGAATTAAAATAAAGAGATCAATTAATTCTTTATCAGGTTTGGGATACTCGTAGAATTGGAATTTTTCATCTCTAGAAAGTGTTGGATTCTGGGTATAATAATCAAAGGAGGATTTTGAGGAGGATAATGATATTCAACTCTAATTAGAAAAAAAAAGTGAGACGATTATGTATTTATGGTTGATATGAAGAAGAAACAGAAAAAAGGACAGTATTTATCTCCGTGTTGATAAAAATAACAAAAGTAGAATAGACAGAATGGACAGAATTGGACAGAATTGGACAGAACTAATACAATCCAAACCCCACAATAACACCCTACATACACACAAACCTATCTCTCTCTCACCTAATACCTCGTTAACACCATTATCACCATCACACAGTTAACACCTATCCGTAACATTATATATATATACACCATTATGACGCTATCCCATTCCCTGTGTTAATTACAAGAGGGATTGAGTACCTTGGTTGGTTCGCTGGTTAGCTGTTTGACGATCTGTACACATCAAAGCTACAACATGTCAATCATATATAGAGGGTGAGGGGCGAGTGGTGAGTGGGGTGAGGGGTGAGAGGGGTGAGAGGGGAGATGAGTCAAGTGGGTTATCATCAAGAGGTCTCCTTATGTGACCTGAATACGTGTCTATGTTTGATATTGTGTTGTGTACAGTGTTAGGGATATTTAGCTATGAGAATATTTTAGTTAGTAATTCCCCGTTGTTATGTAATTAAGCTATTGGGGAGATTAATATGCCCTTGTATAATTAGGCCACTGGGGATGATTGATAATGCCTTGTGTTGTATAATTTGGTCACTGAGAAGACTAATGATTCCTAGTATGGTCAAATTAGGCCAATAATAAGGCTAATAAGTCCTTGTATTTTATAATTAGGTCACTGAGAGGACTAATAATTTCTCGTATGATGTCTCTACCATCAACTAACCTCACGTATCTATCCTCACGTAAACAGAGAATAGAAAAATGTCACAAAAAAATCTATTTCTCACGTAAGTTTATAGTCTAGTCCCACACAGTCTCTAGCTCATCGTAGGTAAGAGACATTCTTGGTTTGTGTTCTCAGCAAGTATCCATCTCCTCCCCCAGACGACAGCGGGTGAATATATACTCAGCTTCCAGTCCTATTAACAAGTCGTGTTCAAGCCAATGCGGTCCTGGCAATTTTCTCACACCATGAAGTCGTTCAATATATGTGTCTCTGTGATGCTTGCATGTGCAATAGCGACCTCATTAATCCAGAGCGCGGGACCACACACCACTGCTCACGCTAGCTGGCTCCCTCGCACGCACACACACACACACACACACACACACACACACACACTATCCTTGGTTGCAGCACCTTCTCCACACACCACCTTCGCCACACACCATCCTCACTACACACACACACACACACACACACGTTAACTTGTACTTCACGCCTCTGCTTCTCTCAATATTTTTGTAACTTTCCTCTCTCTTATTTTTTTTCTTTCTCTGATATATCACATCTTTTATTGTCCTCTCCTCCCCTCTTTCCTTCTACGTATATTGTGTAAAAATTATTCGAATCTCCTTCTTCCTTCCCTCTTTTATTATCACATTTCTATTAATATTTTTTTTTCTCTTTTCAATCCCTTCCTGAACGACTGACTGCACACTTCACCTTGAGCCAAACTTTACCAGACTTCCTTCCCATTATCACTTTCTTTACTCTCTCTCTCTCTCTCTCTTACTCTCTCTCTCTCTCTCTTACCTCCACCATTCGGGTAAAGTAAGTGTCCACCATCGCCTCTATCTCATCTCTGAGTCTCACTAAATTTCACAAAGAGTTCCTTCGTCTTCTCACAGTGTCAACTTGGGCTGCTAAAGTCTTGCCGAACACTGGTGAAAATTGATCCAGAACGCTCAGAGTCTTTCACCAAACGCGGGTACAAGTCGTCAGGGTTTTACTGAATAGACCACCAATAACTTGTTAGCCAATGGTGGTGATAGTGGTGGTGGTAGTGGTGTGATGTGGTGGTGATATTGATGGTGGTGATGGTGCAGTAATATAGACCCAGAACAAGTGAAGGTGTCATTGTTTATTTCAGTCATCCAGTGTGTGTGTGTGTGAGGCAGGGAGTGTGGCTAGACCCTCACGTTAACACTACCTTAGGTATCCTTGGGAACTGTGTCAATTCTTCATCCTCTTATCAAAATGTCCACCTGAGATTACTTACCTGTTTTATAATCAAATTTTAATATAATTTCATCAGATTATTTAAAATTACAACAAAATGATACCTTGTTAAAATAGTATTAGTAAAGACCTTATTAGTATATATACCTTGTTAGTATATAGTAGAAGTATATACATATGCACACACCGTATGTATTTATGTATGAAGGGAATGTAGTCTGTATGTCTGTCTGTCTATGTATGGCTTTCGTATATAACAATAACCAAACCCATAAACTGAGTAAAATTATTAAATATCCAATAATTCCACAGCATTATTTTTACTTAGGATTATCACGGTATTAATTTATAAATCGTCTCTTTACTGAAGCTACAAAATTACCTTAATTAGCCTCGCCAGGATGATAATGATCCGTGTAAATGATGTCCACTATAATGTCCTTAATGGGATGAGACAACAGCACCATCACATACGGTATGGTTACGGTACTAGTGGGTAATGATGGTGGTACTTTGGTGGTGCTTCATGACTCCTATTACTATGGTACCACACGACCATTAAGGTACCACACGACCATTAAGGTACTACACGACCATTAAGGTACCACACGACCAGTAAGGTACCACACGACCATTAAGGTACCACACGACCAGTAAGGTACCACACGACCATTAAGGTACCACACGACCAGTAAGGTACCACACGACCACTACTACCACACGACCATCACTACACACTTTACTACCATTATATAACAACACCGGGTACAGAGGACCATGAGGTTAATTTATGTTAATGCCGTTAATTATACATGAACTGTTAAACTAACTTATATTAACGCAGTCACTGTACAAGACCTGGCAGTAGTGTGTGCGGAGTTAACTATTAATTAACTCCCAGCCGGATAGTTAACTACTAATACTACTTTTATATCTAACTAATTAGCTACCATTCTGATAATTAATAGCATAGTGATCTATTAAGAAGAGAGAACTTATGTAATTAAGAAATAAATTCACCTCAGTACCAGATTTTCCTGTGAGTGTGTGTGTGTGTGTGTGTGTGTGTGTGTGTGTGTGTGTGTGTGTGTGTGTGTGTGAGTAACTTTTGCGGAAACCCTCTCAAAGTGTTGACAAATTTTAGTGGAGAAAATTAAGGAGTTATTGGGAATTATTTTACAACGGGAATTGATTGGAATTTTTTATACTGTTATTGAGAGGAATTTAATCTGTTTTAATGGATTTTTTGTGACATTTAATTTTTTTGGGGGGGGAGTATTTTTTCTTCTTTTATTTTTATTTATAATTCTCCTGTGTTTCTTTTGTTTATTTTATACTATTTTAATTCCTTGTTCTGTTCTTCACTTGGTTATCTTTATCTTTATATGATATCTCAAAACTTTTCTCATTCTCTCTCATTCTCTCGTCTTTCTAGGAGCATATCTGCATTCTTATAATGTGTGTCTCTCTCACCCCCTCCCTCTCTCATCCCCTCCCTCTCTCACCCCCTCAACCCTCCTCCTCACCCCCCTTCCTCTTCCCCCTCATCCCCCCCCCCCAACATCAACACTACCCTTGCTATATGCCCCATAAACTACGTGTCATTTTTGAGGTGATGCAAAATATTATTCTCTCTGTTTTCCCTTCCGTCCGCCATCTCACACGATCAACATAACGTAATAACAATGTTGTTTCCCCAGCACTGGAGACAACGGCGCTAAAAATAAATTATGAGGACAAATACATGAATAAATTTAATATAATTTAAGGATTTAATTATAACCTAAAATAAGTAATATAATTTATTTTTAAGTTATATTAAGCTGGTTTAGTTTGCTTGTCGTGTTTGTGTCGTTTAAAGTAATAAATGTTTTAGCGTCGTAGCCCCTCTAGCGCCGCGCTCTAGGTACACAATAGAGGCTCATTATTGTTGCCATCCTGACCTCGATAACCTGACACACACAGCTTTACTCTTACCTTCACTAATTTCCATCATACCTTTATTTTTATTTATATACCTTATCATGTTATTAGCCTCCATTATTATACTCATAAAGCTAAAACTATACTCTGATAATATCATTCTTATACTGGAACACAATAAAAATATTATAGGCACATTTTCTACCGTCTCTCCCTTTAATAAGTGTCTGTTAAATGCATTCTCACGTATCTGTGTCTTGGAGGTAAAAAATTATATAACACGTCTTTAGTTTTAAGAATTTAAGCTCTAGTTCTCGTGTTTTTTGCTCAGCTGGTTGTGATGGAACTTCTGATTTTCGTCTCGTATATTCTTCAGGCATACGGACCCTCTTCTTGGCCCTCTAGCGGCAGTTGGGGAAGACCATGAGAACTTTAATATCATATAAGACCCTCATCTCCCTCATCTCTCCCTCACCTCACCCTCACCTCCCTCACTTCCACCACCACACTCACCTCATTTCCACCTCTCCTTCACCTCCATTATTACCCTCACCCTCATCTCCCTCATATTCACCATCTCCCTTACCTCCCTCACCCTCATCTCCCTCACCCTCACCTTCACCCCCTCACCTCCCTCACCCGTCACACAGACAGGTCAAGGACAATATTTGACACTCGCCAATATTTTTTCAGCCTTACAATTTGTGATAACGAGATGATGTCTCTCTCTCTCTCCCTCTCTCTCTCTCCCTCTCTCAAGTAGGGATCAACACAACCATTTTTCTCCCATTCAGAGTAGAAAAAAGACAGTTTGGTTAAAAGTTCTTAACGGAGAAAAGTACTTATTATTATCTGTCTGTCTGTCTGTCTGTCTGTCTGTCTGTCTTTGTGTGCATCTTTGTGTCTGTATGTTTATGTCTGTTATTTGTACTTTATTATGTCTGTCTGATAAAGGAATAATAATGACGACACTCGTTATAATTACATCGACAATATCACCTTATAGCCAAACCATTAATCACAATTAGTCAAAAGTAATAAAGAACAGGTGTTAATGGCACTAGACAGGTAATCGTACGAGGAGGGAAAAGAGTTGTATGATTCTGGCGGTTGAGAGAGAGAGAGAGAGAGAGAGAGAGAGAGAGACGGAGTAAGTGAAACGTGGGTAGCAATGACCGTAGACTTTTGTGCTCCGTCCGCCAATTGTTTACTAAATTCTTTCCCGCGTTTTTTTTATTAAATTCTAGTGATATTGTTATTTTATTTTTATTGTTTTTATGTTAGTGTTGATGTGTTTATATATGTAAATTAATAAATTATTAGATATATAAATAGATTGATATATAAATTAATAAATTGTCTTTTGCATTTTCATTTCATTGTAAAATTATGTGATTATTTTTATTTCTGTTTTTTATGAGTATTTATATAAATATCTATATTAATTAGTAAATAAATAGATAGATAAATAGATGGATAATTCTATAAATATATACAATTTATCCAGAATGAGAATAAATTATCAATATCAAATTCTCTTCAATATTAAATTAATATGATTATTTGACCTCATTGATAGTATTTACAGATTATTGATATAGTTTAGTAATTTAATATGATTCTGTGGATGAAAGGCACTGGTAGGGAGGAAAGCGGGAGGAGACGGAGACGAGAGCGGGAGTAAGTGAAACGTGAATAGCTATGTCCGTAGACTTTTGTGTGTGTGCTCGCCGGAACCTCTTTCATTCTCCTGTGTTTTCTTTTTCATTTTTTTTTACATATATCGGTATATTTCTTTTTGTATTCATTTTTAGTGAGTGTTGCTGTGTTTGTATGTGTAAATGAATAGATAGATAGATAGATAGATAGATAGATAGATAGATAGATAGATAGACAGGTAATAATCACACACCTCTCAATAAAGCTAACAAGATATTTTTACCTCAATTAAAACAGACGTAATGATGTTAAACAGAATATTCATGTATAACTAAATACCCCAGATAACTAATAACACGAGAAGAGAAAAGAGAGGATGATAAATGATGGAATAAGGGGAAGAGGAAGAGGAAGATCTGTTTGGGATAAGACTTTACAATATACATCAATAATAGAGATAAATGACCCACAAAGACGAGTACTTGATAGAGAGATAGAGAGAGAGAGAGAGAGAGAGAGAGAGACAGACAGACAGACAGACAGACAGACAGACAGACAGACAGACAGACAGACAGACAGACAGACAGACAGACAGACAGACAGACAGACAGACAGACAGACAGACACCCGTACACACAGACAGATAGCTAGAGACAGACTAGGTGACAAAGACCCAGACAGACACACCTTCCTCTACTACACTAGGTTAGGTTAGGTTAGGTTAGGTTAGGTTAGGTTCATTTACACCAACTATATCCTTACACTGACGAACAAAAATATACAAAACAACGAACCAATGCACACAGAATGATAAACAAGCACAACATAGACATTACTTCACGTATCTTAAAACCCCCGCTATGACATAAAGACCTCAACACCATACACTAATAAAGACTATCTTAGGTGGTAGGAATATAAAGACCACCCAAAGACCATCCAAAGACCACCGAAGGACCATCCAAAACCACCTAAGGACCACCCAGACCATGCAACCATAACCCAAAACTCATAAATTAAACGTGTACTGATGTTATGTCAAGATGAATGGTACAGGGGAGAGAATATAGATCATTTGGGAGATATATAGCGTGATGTGAGGTGTGGCAGCGAGGGTGAATGAGAACTGAGGCATTATAATCGGGGAATTTATTGCCAAGAATGGAAGAATATTAGATTGAAGAGGAATTTAATCAATATGTTGTATAAAAGAAAATATAAAGTTAAGGAATTTCATTAAAAGTCTTGAAGGTTTGTTGTGTAGTGTTGTATAGTGTTGTATAGTGTTGTGTAGTGTTGTATAGTGTTGTATAGTGTTGTGTAGTGTTGTATAGTGTTGTATAGTGTTGTGTAGTGTTGTAGAGTGTATTAAGTCTATGTTAGGATAATATTGTTTAGAGGCTGAGGTAAACAACAGTATTTATTAACATGTGGATTTTCTTCTTCTTCTTGTACAGCTGTAATGTACTGCTGTAACTTGCGTCTCACTCTACAGGTACATCAGTAAGGTACACCATCACAGCTGTTGTAACTTGTGTCTCCTCCTACAGGTACATCAGTAAGGTACACTATCACGGGAGGCAACAAGGACGGGCTCTTCACCATTGACCAACACTCGGGAGTCATCACCCTGGCGGCCGCCCTCGACTATGAAGCTCACCATAAGGTATGTGACGCTGTGACGCTAGGATGCTGGGATGGTGTGACGCTAGGATGATGTGACGCTGGGATGGTGTGACGCTGTGATGATGTGATTCTGAAAACAAATAATACTGTCCACTGTGACGATGCCAACACCTTCCACAACGAGACTCACCACAAAATGACGATGGTGACGATGATAACTCCCTATAACTCACTAAACAGACGTGACCAAACACTTACATAATGCTTCTTATCCTCCCAAGTAGATGAGGTGAGAGCCTCGATAGATTTACCCATTGACTCTAAACGAAGACAATTACAGCCAGGTCAGGTCAATTCCCTCAGACACGTGTATTAGTCATGTATATCTTCACCTAATGACCAAGAAAAAATATTATAGAGAATTATGATCATTTAATATTTAACCCTTTGAGGATGATCACTTAACCCCTTGAGGACTATGACTTAACCCCTTGAGTATAATGACTTAACCCCTTGAGTATAATGACTTAACCCCTTGAGTTTAATGACTTAACCCCTTGAGAATAATGACTTAACCCCTTGAGAATAATAACTATACATTCCCATGAAAACTTAAAAAAATCTAACTCAAGGCTTAAAATCGTAAAACATCAAAAGCTCTCAACAAAAAGTAAAAAAAAGTTTTCAAAGTACATTACAGTGAACGCTAACCTAACCATCATTCACATCAACAACAGGAACGATACTCTTACTATGTCTTTCTTACGATCCCCCCCCCATCCCCCCATCCCACCCCCCATATCTGTAATGTAAACCTGATCCTCAAATCGTTACCAAAACTTCCTCGCCCACAAGACCATCACCAGAAGTCGTCACCCAGATAGCCAGCCATTGTCGTTATTCTGGGGGAGGAGCAGGTTTCTTTTGTCAATGTTGATGTTCTTTTGTTTCTGGTTGGCTGAGTGTCCCATCGGTGGTGTGTTCTTAGGATCTCTTGTTATGTTTGTTGATTGTGTTGTCGAGTGGGATTACGTGACGTGAGGAGAGTCAGTGTGGGGGAACGAGAGGTGGTATTCATTAGTTAGTTTGTCTTTCAGGCGTAAGCTCTCGGGTGATATTTTCTGAGGAGGAGGAGGTGAATCTCTCTCTCTCTCTCTCTCTCTCTCCCTGTTGTGAGTTGTGAGAAGTTTTTCGTGTCACCGGAGGGCCGTGGGAGTGAACACCTGATGAAAGACGTAGGTGTCACATGGTTTCAGCCGCTGGGATCTTTACTTTCTCAGGTCCATGGCCCTGTGATTCTTATATTTAGTGGTCCATGGCCCTGTGATTCTTATATCCAGTGGTTCATGGCCCTATGACTCATATCCAGTGGTTCATGGCCTTATGACTCATATCCAATGGCCCGTGGCCCTGTGAATGTCGTGTACAGTGAGCTCTTAATTCAGGGTCCTGTGGCATTTACTGTCAAGTCCAAGTCATAGTCGAGAGAGAGACGACAGGGTGGGACACTTTCACCTAACATTACTCCTATCGTCCGAACACCCATAGGCCGCCTGGCTCTGGTTACGGTTGTCATATAAATAAATGACCGGAGTGATTGTGGCTTTTCCGTCTGTGTGTGTGTGTGTGTGTGTGTGTGTGTGTGTGTGTGTGTGTGTGTGTGTGTGTGTGTGTGTGTGTAAGGCTTAGTTCTTCAGATATTCGAGGAAAAAATACCACGTCCTTAACTTTCCTGATGGTGTGATGGTTCGTGATGGGAAACGATTGTCCGTGATTGTTCCAACCTCCAATTCATAATTACGAACCATCATTGGTACATCAAACAACACCCCCACAGAACTCTACCAGGTCCTCTACAGACCAAAAGGAACAAAAAAAAAAAAAAAAAAAAAAAAGGTAAACAAAAAGTAAAGATACCTGACGTGATAAATCAAGACAAGATGACTGTAGTGTCTTAGGAACTTCAGCCTGTCCTACAGTTCCGGTATTTCCTTCCTGACGGAGTTGAGGTTTTTTTTTTTCGTTGCTGGGATGTGATTTGAGGAGAAATGTCTGGATGTAAGACCACTCCTGCCTCGCCTTCTTCAGCTGACACAGGTGCTTGTGGGAGGAGGAAATGATTTTGTACTCTGAGGTGTGGTGAGAATTTTTTTTAGTATTATTTTTTATTAATTTTTTATTATCTTGTTATTTTGATGTTCAGGGTTGGGTTAGGTTAGGTTAGGTTAGGATAGGATTAAAAGAAGAAGAGGAAGATAATAAACAAATAAACAAACAAACACATCCCTATACCTCATCACGTGGTAATGTAAACAAATAATTTATAATACAGTTGTTTGCAGTTAATACCATAGACAATTAAAGCGAGTGTATATATATATGTGTGTAACTGATGATAAATTAGATTACTTTCTCAATTATTCTATTTAAAAACACTATAGTTTATTCTTAATCCCAAATATATCAACAGTAACTACAGACAGACAGACACACAGACAGACAGACACACAGACAGACAGACAGAAAAAATCCACATTCAGATATTAAAATTCAAATACTTTTTTTTTACAGTTCAGATTACAGCAAAAAAAAAATCATACAATATTGAGCAGGTAATTTCTGGTCCAGGTAACAACAAAAGGTTAATTGAATTTTTACCTCTTGTTAATTGACACATATTACGTAACTTGAAGATTATATTTGTTTAGTGTATTTGTTGGTGTTTTTGTGATACAGATACTATTTATTTATTGTTTTTATTCTTGTTTCTCTGTAGAGGGTAAAAGAGAAAGGGTGATAAAAGGTGGATAGGAAAAATAACATCATTCGTTATTTCTCTCTTCCCCCGTGTGTGTGTCGCAGCACGAGCTAGTGGTGGCGGCAGAGGTGGAGGGTCAGGCAGCACATGCTATGGTACAAGTGACAGTTCTTGACGTCAATGACAATGCCCCCTACTTCCTCAACCCTAAGCCTCAAGTAACTGTCGTGGAGGAAGACGACCGCCATCTACCAGCTACCATCGCCACGGTTAGTAGTGGTAGTAGTAGTAGTAGTAGTAGTAGTGGTAGTGGTAGTGGTAGTAGTAGTAGTGGTAGTGGTAGTGGTAGTGGTAGTGGTAATGTAAGTAGTTGTGATTGTAGTTGTAGTGATAGTCTTAGTAGTGGTATTAGTGGGAGTAGTTGTAGTAGTAGTAGTGATAGTAGAAGTAGTAGTGGTAGTAGTTGTAGTAGTAGCCATTTGCAAACCGTAAATAAAAACAAAGAAATTTATTTGTTTTTAATGAACGTAAGAACTTTTCAGACTTTATAAATATTATTTCTGATTCTTTTTTGCATGACTTTTTTTGTTGCCATTGTTGTTGTTGTTTCCCCCCTTTGACCTTATTCCAAGGTACATTAAACAACTCACCTGGGCAAAAGTCTCATTAACGCTACTCACCTTAATTACCTTGGCTTCTACCTGTATAGTCACCACACCACTGTACTTATTTTTTTACCACTCCCTCCCCTCACCACTGTACCAATGTCACCACTCCCTCCCCTCTCATTCTCTCTTCTCCTCTTCTCCCCTCTTATCTCCCCTCTCTCTCTCTCCATTCTTAACTCATTATCATTACCACCATCTTCAATTCCCACCTTTTATTCTCTCACCTCTTCCTCCTTCCATCCTCCTTCCCCCTCCCTCATTCGTTCACCTCCTTAAACCTCCTTCCCCCTCCCTCCTCCCCCATTTCCCCCCATCTCCTTCCCCTCATTGTCCTCTCCCATTCCTTCTCTACCACCCTTCACCCTCTAAACTCTCCACCTCCCTAACCCTCCCTCCTTCACCTTCCCCAGCTCACCATTAGGTACCTCCTGCCGTGACCATCCCCTCAGGTAGGTTTTTTTTTCCAATTCAACAGTAAAAGTTTCAATTTACGTGTGTGTCCCCCCCATAGGCTCCTCGCTCCATATATTCCATTTGTCCTCCGCCTCTTTTGGGGTTAGTGGGAATAAGTCTGGGATTTTTCTTTGGGAGTTGGGGATTTTTTAGGTTTTTTTTTTAGTGTAGGGGATTTTTTTAAGGGAATTTTTTAATATGGGGATTTTTTAAGGGAATGTTTTTAATGTAGGGATATTTATGGGATTTTTTTTTAATGTAAGGATTTTTTAAAGGGATTTTTTATAAGTAAGGAACACTTAAGCAGAAGACAACAACAGTTAGAATGAATGAAAGAAAAATCTGTGTACTATTAATATTGACTCTTGTCACCTTGCAATATTAAAAGAAAATACCTGCAATATTGAAAAAGTTAAAGGAGATTATTAAAATTATCAGACTCTCTCACAGCATCTGGTAGTAATAAAGTTTGTTTGTATTAGTTGAGTGTGTTACCTGAAGATTAGCACCCCCAGTCTTATTACATCTACCGTTTAAACACCCTATCGCTACCTGGGAGGGGGGTAGGTTAGGTTAGGTTAGGTTTGGTTATGGTTTGCGTTAGGGTAGTTAATCTTCAGGTGATTCAAGGCAATAAAATTCAGTGGTAATAATGGTAGTAATAATAGTAATGGTAATAATGGTAGTAATGGTAGTAATAATAGTAATGGTAATAATGGTAGAAATGGTAGTAATAATAGTAATGGTAATAATGGTAGTAATGGTAGTAATAATAGTAATGGTAACAATGGTAGAAATGGTAGTAATAATAGCAATGGTAATAATGGTAGTAATGGTAGTAATAATAGTAATGGTAATAATGGTAGTAATGGTAGTAATAATAGTAATGGTAATAAAAATAATAATGGTAGTAATGTCAGTAATGGTAGTAATAATAGTAATGGTTGTGTTGTGGTGTACAGGTGGAGGCGACGGACCCAGACTGGCTGGACCACCACGGGCTGCTGTACACGGTGAGGGGGGATGGTGTTGACGGCTTCCACCCCACCGACGCTTTCTTCTCTGTCAACTCTCTTACCGGGGAACTCATCCAGCTCAGGGTACGTCACTGTTAGTTTCACCATTATCTTTCTCACTAAACCTATCACGTTAAATCACCAGGATAACTCTTCATAACTCTTTCCTAACCTAACCTAACCTAACCTAATATTTATATCAAGTACATTTATTTTAACACGAGAGAAACAAATTTATCAAAGCTAACACTACCATGATGGATGTATGATAATATATAATCCTATCCTGACTAAATAAATTTGTAATCGGGTTAAATGAAATGTATGTATACGCAGACACAAGGCTTTTAACACGAGGTAATATCTGGAAAATTACCTGTGAGTCGTGCAGGTGTGTGTGTGTATAGTAATTGGCTTATACCTGGTGAATGATACCTGGTCAACGATACCTGGTCAAGAATACCTGGTCAACGACACCTGGCCAACGATACCTGCATTATAAATATAATTAAAATGACAGTATGAGAAAAGTTTAATACAATATATAAATAATAATAATATTCAAAACACTCTCCCTGTATCGTAAATAAACTATTATATAGGATATTACCTAAAATGTCCAGGTAATTTTGTCCATAGATTAATATAGGTAGGTGTGTATTTACCTGTCTCAGCACTTAATTAACTTTCTTCTATAAAACACAGGTGACTAGAGCGTCCCTGAGTGTGTCACTGAGCTAACTAACACACATGACACGAGAATCAACCGGAAAGTAAAACGAGATTGAAATCCAGATTGGGAAGGAAATATTTCAGGTTTACATTTTCGATTACAACAAAGTAAAACAATTTAGTTATAATGTTCGTTTTCTGTTTTCCTCTTTGGATATTATCGCCTTAATGTATTAATTCAATAATATAACCCGGAATTATATTAGGTTCTTAGGGTAATATATAAAAAGGTTACAAAAAGCAATGTTATAGATAACTTCCTAGATGGTTTCAAAATTACACTGAGACTCTACCTTAATTTAAATACCTTCCTTTATCCCTAATTAAGGAGTATAAAATCTAATCCATACCTTACAAACAATGAAAACTCGAATATAAACAAAACAAAAAAGTAAACAAAGAATAAACCAATTATTTATATATCCCTCACTTCATAAAACATCCATTAGGTAAATCAACAAAAACAGGTATTGAAAAAAGCCAACCTAAATTACACACCTAAATATTATTATTACTTATGATTTTACAATTTAATTTTGTTTAATTTCCCGAGAGTAAATGCAAATGAGAGATATTTTTTACATTTTTTTTACATTGGATCACACACACACACACACACACACACACACACACACACACACACACACAGTTGAAATATACTACATGGTGATATTGACCCCCTTCCCCTTTCCCCTACCCTCACCCCCCTCACCCCCGACCCCCTCCCCCCCTCACATAATATGGTTAATCTACTCACGTTTACCCAATAGCATACACACACACACGGGCTAAGGTACTTTAGGCCGGGACGGATTAGGTTTATGAAAATGGTGTTACGGTGATCTGTTGCATGCTGTACCAAAAATGAATTGAGGGTGTCTGTCTGTCTGTGTGTCTGTCTGTGTCTCTGTCTCTCTGTATGTCTGTCTGTCTCTCTATCTGTCTGTCTCCCTGTCTGTCTATCGTGTCTGTCTGTCTCTCTTCAGATTATTAAAACAAGATAATCATGCCTTTGGTTGTGTTAAGATTACCTGTGTCTGTTTCTAATTAGGCACTGGACAGGTAACTCAGCCAGAAAGGAGGAGTTGTGAGAGTTGATGAAGGAGGGAGTGAAGGAGATAATGAAGGAAGTGAAGGAGGAGGTGAAGGAGATAATGAAGGAACTAAAGGATATGATGAAGTAGGAGAAAGAGGTGGTGAAGGAGTTCTTAGGAGATGATGATGATGATGATGATGATGATGATGATGATGATGATGATGACAACTCTCTTCTACAGGCACTGGACCGTGACCCGCCTAGAGGAAAGGAGGTGTGGAAGGTAAGGGTACAGGTGAGGGACGGACAAGCACTATGGAGTCGCCAGGCTATGGATCGCCTCCTAGCCTCCAACTCCAAGAAGAAGAACAAGGACCACAACGATAAAGTAAACAGAAGACGAAGAAATACCAATGATAAATCCAACAAGAGAAGAATAAAAAGGGGAAATATATCACAGGAACCATTAATCACCCAAGGACATGATAAGGGAGATATTGCTGCTGGAGTTGAGAAGTTTATTGAAGAAATACCTGACATGAGGGAAGGCAGCCATCTTCCTGAACACAGAGAGAAGTATACCAGGATTGATGGTGATGAATTAAGCAGAAACTCGAACGTAAATGATGATATTAATCTTGAAAATGGAGGGAAATATCCTAGAAGATATTCATTACATACCGTTCTGGATTCACGGAAGAATTACGAACCTCGAGAGAGAAAAACAACAATGTGTGGACGTCAGCAAGAAGTAGTACCTGAGAACTTTAAAGGTGAGAGAATGAGAATGAATCATGACTCAGGAGGAAGTAAGATTCATGATGATTCACAGACCAGGTATAGAGGAGACAGTGGAGCAGCGGTAACGTCACATTATGGTGATGGTGATGGTGACGGTGATGGTGACTTAATGCCCAGCAGCAAGACTACCCACGATGACCTGGACCTGAGGACCACACCAGAGCCCAGCCTCAAGCTAAAGACAAACGAACAGTCCCCCAGGTCTTTGTTTCTCCATCTAGAGTCTAATAGTAGTAACCACGCTCACAAAAGTCGTAGTTATGATGACAAATTGCTGTCATCAGACTCGCGTTCAACAACAGAGAAAACAATTCCTTTGGTTTCTAAAAACGGCATCAAGGCCACACACATCGCTGAATCATTGGCAGATAAAAGCGACAGTGTAAATAACATCCAAACATCTGCATATCCACCTAATGGCACGGAACCAACCATAAACCCTGGCAGCGGCAGTAAAACCACACATCCAGAAAATTTATCTCGTAATTCTGGACGTTCCCGTGACTCCGGGATCAGATGGAAGACCTTACCAGAATCTATAGGTCCTCAACCCTCCCTGGTCACCCCAAGAGGCAGGAGAGCAGCGGGGGAGGAGGACCACTACCATCTGGGCAGCTTCAGTACTGACAGCGGCTGTGATGAGGGTCAGGACTCAGCGAGCGGCAACAAGACTCAGGCAGCGGGGCGTCGCCTGGGTGGTGGCAGCTTAAACGGTCTGGGAGGGTCGCGAGTACACGTGGCGGAGACGGTGGTCACGGTGCTGGTGAAGGACATCAACGATAACCCTCCCGTCTTCCCCAACGCCACCATGTACGGGGAGGTGCAGGAGAACGGCCCTATAGGTGAGTACACTGACTTGTCTCATGTTGTAGTAGATAGATTCCTTAACCTTTCTTCTCAATAATAACCTAATGTGTTGGTGTTTGAACTCGCCATTGTGTTTGTTACATGTCTGGTGGTGTTCAGACTGGTGAGCGTTGACAGCTATCGCCACCAAACATTCAAATCATCGTTTATGACATTAATGGGTCAAGGGTCAGTACAGACTCATATAAAATGTGATTCCTGGTCATTAGGCTAATAGTTGATGACCTCATAGTATCGTTCTACGTCCTAAACACCTTTAATTATCGTCAGTAAGTATAGACCATGAAGCACACTCCCGGGCAGCCATATTGGTTGGAGATCGGTTAGTGTCCAAGATGACGATTTAAGATGCAGTGAGGCGGCCTAAGGGAGAATATCGTTAAGTATAATATAAACATAATAAATACTTAGAAAATAAGTCACTCATGCTGCACTTAATGGCGCCGCCCCTTCAAATATTAACTTCAATTTTTAAATTACATTCCGCCTTTCAACACAAGACTTTACCCGGAAATATTAAACCTTGAGTCACCTATTGTATTCCGTAGAGACACAGTAAAGGTCAAGACTAACAGGTCAAAGGTCATTCACCCTCTTTTATGGGACTGTCGATCGAGTTTCAGATTAGATTTCGTGTAACAAGTGAGAATTCTCAACCGAGTATTTCCTAGGGACAAAGTTTATTGAATTTACTTATTTTCCTTTGTTTTTTTCTTGTTACTGTATCGAGACACAAGTAAGATCTCTCAACTATACGACAAAAACACCAACAACAAAAACGAAAAAAAATTACAAATATTTACAAAACGAACACAAACAAATCCCAACGCATGGAAGGAAACAACAACACTGAATAATAAATACAATAATAATCATAAACAAAAAAGAATAAACAGTAAACAAAACAAACTTTCCCCCAATAATATTAGATCTTATCGTAAGGAACAATAGGTGTCAGTTTACCATTGAGACCGTGAGACAGGTATACGCTCCTAATGTCTCGGGGTTATGTTCCGTAAATGGTGTGTTTTGCGCTGGAACAGGAAATTGTGAGGCTCTTGTGGAATATCAACTTGTGTTTTTTTTGTATTGGCTGTATGTATTTATGTATGTATTTATGTATGTATGTGTGTATGTATGTGTGTATGTACTGTACCTTCTGCTGTCATCCTGCCACTGGTCACGCACTGTAAGGCAAGTACAGTTGGTACAGTTAGGTGGAAAGTGACAGCTATATAAATTATGTACTTTTGAGTGAGTTTTGTAGTCTGGGGTGATGCTTTTACACGTTGGTTTATTTATTTTTAGTTGATTTATTCTTTTTTTTAATATTTTATACACAAACATCTAACATTTATTCAACTATTAGAAAATATTATTACCTGAAATATTCTATAAAAAAATCAAATTTATTCAAGACCTTTTAAAAATATTAGTATATTGTTAATTTTTTTTCACAAATTTAAATTGATTTATTTCATTATTTTCTCTGATATGAAAGTAAGTTTATTTAAGGTAATATTTTCTAACGAAGATGAATATATTTTTAAAACGTTATTCTGTATGTTAACATTATCCTCATCACTAGATATTAACAGATATTATAAAGCTCAGGGGATCTTTAATAATAGTTTAGTTACGTTAACAAATTTTAGTAAACAAAAAACTATGACAGAATGTTGGAACAATACATCGAGTAAAGACAAGATTAACAAAGACCATAATAAACCAGGGCACGCCAGAGTCTTCTACCAGGTGTGTGGGGGAAATTTTCGCGCTAGAATTTATCGACAAACTCTTTAAGTAAAACGCTATTCCAATTAACGTAGAGAAGAGGCGGGATTTAGAAGTAATTATATCACCTCAAACATTTTTTTAATTATTTTGTGGTTGTTGCAGAAATACGAAGAATAGGAATTATTTCAGCGTGTAACGATTATATTTATAAAGAAAAAGCTTGACTAATTACTGTTTATGTTATCAAGAAATCGTGAGAAAAAAAATTAACTCAATACATTTTAACAACATTAGTAATAAACAATAAAATATACCTTACAAAATTATACATATTATTCATACGTCATGGAAAAAATGAAGAAAATAAATTGAAGAAATGTTTTATTACGTATGTAAGCGATATATAAGGGAAATATCTCACTCCTCCAACAGATTACATGGAGAAAAAAATATTAAGGGCGTAAAAATTCATTGGAAAATAAGTCAAAGTGACACCATGGCTCCCCAGACCCTCTTGGTGGTGCTAGAGATGTATGGGTGGCCTTATTTTTTAGATTTGGTGAACGGTAATGGTACAAGTGGGATGTGGGAGGTAATTAGGGATGGTGGGGAGAGTCCTTGGAAGTGTTTGGGGAGGGTTGGGTGGGGGAAGGTGGTGTGTTGGGAGTGTGAGAGGGGTGAGGGAGGAGTGGGGGGGTCTGAGTGGGAAGGTGCAGAGGGGTCATGCGGGGTGGGGGGTGGGGGAGGGGAGGATTGAAAGTTATAGCCTCTTGGGTCTTGCAGAGGAAAAACTTGAAGGGGTAAAAACTGCGAGGAAGGATCAAGGTGTATAAGATGATAAGGTGAGCGAAACGGTGAGATAGTAAGCAAACGGATAGACAGAGAATGAGCAAAAGAAAAACAGAAAGGCAGACAGACAATGAGACAGACAGACAGATAGACAGAGAACATTTAAGAGTATTAGTAACTGTAGTAGACACAAGGTGTGTGACATTAGCTACAGGTTAAAAGGCTCTTCTAATGATCACAGGTAAAGGTGTAAGGTTGACTACGAGAAATAATGATGAAGACGAATAGCAACACAGTGAGGAGGTAACTGGCTCTATCAAGGTGTGTGTGTGTGTGTGTGTGTGTGTGTGTGTGTGTGTGTGTGTGTGTGTGTGTGTGTGGATCTGGGATTTCATCGACCTCACCAAGGCCTTCGACTCGGTCAACAGGGAAGCCCTCTGGTGGACCCTCAGCCGTTTTGGCTGCCCACCAAAATTCATCGCCATTGTGAGGCATGAACGTCAGTGTCCTGCACAATGGCACCCAGTCTGAGTTCTTCCCCATCCAAACGGGGGTTAAACGAGGGTGTGTACTGGCGCCACCTCTCTTTTCCAATTTCTTGGCTGCCTTCCTTACTCGTGCCATTACCAATTTAGCCAGCGGGGTGGACATCGAGTACCGGATGAAGGGCTTTTTCAACATAGACGACTCCGGGCAAGAACAAAGGTGTCAGCAGCTTCCATTACTGAACTTCAGTATGTAGACGACCTCACCCTTGTTGCTCACACTGAACGCGACCTACAGGAGATCCTGAACACCTCCGCAGATGCGTATGCACACTTCGGCCTTGAGGTGACTGTACGTAAGACTCAGATTCTTTTTCAGCCTGCCCCTGGTTCAGACACACCTCCATCATCCATCCAGCTTAACGGTACTACCCTCTCTAATGTTACCCACTTTCGGTATCTCGGCTCCCACCTGTCCACCACCAAGGACATCGATTAGGAGATTCAGCATTGGATAAAATGTGCATCTCAAGCCTTTGGCAGACTCCGAAACCGTGTCTTCAGCTGTAGGGAACTGAAATTATCTACAAAATTACACGTATATCGAGCAGTGGTCCTCCCCACCCTGCTATATGGCAGCGAGACATGGGTCACATACAGGAGACACCTCAAGGCACTTGAAAACTTTCACTAACGTTCTCTGCTCCATCCTCCGAATTCGCTGGGAAAACAAGAGAACAAATGCCAGTATTCTCGCTGACACCAACTGTAGGAGCATCGAGGCTACAATTATCCAAGAACAACTACGTTGGATTGGCCATGTTACCCGCGTGGACGACAGTAGACCGCCAAAGCAGCTATCTATCTATCTCTCTATCTATCTATCTCTCTCTCTCTCTATCTATCTATCTATCTATCTATCTATCTATCTATCTATCTATCTACCCACCCTATCCCCTGTCTCCTTTCATTTATCAATCCCTCCCCTCCTACATTTTCTCTCACTAATTCACCAAGTTTCCCAACATGACATATCGTTCCTCTCTGTCATGTCATAATGTGAGCTCCCAGACACACCCAGTAATTACATGCAGCATATCTCATGACGTGTGACTTATCATCGTTATATGCTTCTCAACGCTCCAGTGTGTGTGTAGGTTGAAAGGCTAGTTGTATGTGTGTGTTATGTTGGTATGTTTATGTTGCCTGATGGTGCATGTTGTTAATGGAAAGCTGAAGAGAAATTTTCCTAACTTAATCTGACCTGACCTGACCTGACCTGATCTGACCTATGCTGTGCTGACCTAACCTAACATAACATAACCCAACATAACATAACATAATATAACAGCTTCTCTCTCTCTCTCTCTCTCTCTCTCTCTCTCTCTCTCTCTCTCTCTCTATCTCTCTCTCTCTCTCTCTCCTCTCTCTCTCTCTCTCTCTCTCTCTCTCTCTCTCTCTAATCTCCGTCAATCTTCTTCTTTCTTTCCTTTTTCCCCTCCACATAATTTTTCGTCCCCAGCTGTTCTCCTCCTCCTCCTCCTCCATCTTCTTCTCCTTCGTTTCCTTCTCTCACTGCACTTTCTCTTCTTCTTTCTCTTCATTAATTCTCCAGTTATTTCCCCTTCACTTGTTTCCTTATCTTCTTATCCTATGTAATTCCCTCTTTCGTTTTTTTTCGTGCTAATGTTCCTACTTGTTTCCCTCTCTGCTCTTCCCACTGTTATTAACATGTTTGCTTATTCCTTCTTCCAATATTCAAAGTCTCTCTCTCTCTCTCTCTCTCTCTCTCTCTCTCTCTCTCCACATTGCCTTTATCTTCTACAAGTTTATTTTCATTTCACATTTTTTTTCTTTTCGTGTTGTTTGTATTTCTCTTCTTTTATCTTCTCTCCTCCTCTTCTTCCACCACCAAGTCATTTACATAATCCGCCTTTCCTCATTATCTTTTTCTTCTCCTCTTCCTTCTTCTTCCTTCTCTTGCCCTCCATCTTCTCTTCATTTCATTATCCATTTTTGCTTATTATCTATCTTCACCTGTCATCATTTGTTAATAGATTTCTCTCCTGTCGACACCTGTTATTAATTTGTTACCTGATTCACATTGCTCTCACCTGTTATTATCTGTTTTAACTTAATTATCACCTGACACCACCTGTTATCACCTGTTTCTTATAATACCAACAAATCAAATGAACTTCAAACAAAACAAACTATTAACATTATTAATATCATAATTTTGTAACTTAAAGAAAATATTTTGAAAGTACATTAAGAAACTCGTAAAAAAAAAACGTTCACGTAAGAATAATAATAATAATGATAATATCTACTTAAATACTGAATAAAAATGAGAATATATTTATACTAACATAAGACAGTTAAATGTTAGTAAAGAAAACATAACAAACATATCTACGACAACATTTCCACGACAGGAAAAATAAAAGTTGTAACAGCGTTGAGAAAAGTGTGACGGTAGTTTGACACACTCTTCCTCCGGGGTAAAGGTGAGGTGAGGAAAGTTGGAGTGAAGACCGTGAAAGGTGTAAACAAGTTGAACAAAAGCGAATGTAAACAAAGAAGATGCTGGGTGTTTGGGGGGAGGATGGGTGGGAGTGTGAGGGGTAGGAGGTGAGGAGAGGAGTGAGGGGGAGTGGGAGGTGAGGAAGGGGTGAGGGAATGAGGAGGAAGGGGAACAGGGAATATGAGGGAGGAAGGGGGGTGTTGCCTCGTTTCATCACAGCAGAGTCTCCAGGTTCCAACTCTGTTTTATCTTGAAGTTAAATTAAGAAGTTTTAAATAAATAAACGTATCGAGAAAGAAGAAATATAACACTAAGATTAATATAAGTTACTGGGGTATTATTTTTATTTCACTTTGCTGTTTATATTTACGGTCCCTTAGCTTCTATATTTACGGTCCCTTAGCTTCTATATTTACGGTCCCTTAAGAGTTATTATCTACTAACATGTTGAACCGTAGTTGTAAATTTAAGAAAAATCTTCCCTCTCCTCCCCACCTTCCCCTGTCTCCCGTTTCCCTCTCCTCTCTCCCACCTTTTCTCCCCTCCCTCCCCTTCCTTTTCCCCCCTCCCTCCCTTCTCCCTCCCTCTTAACATACGTAACATAGTACCCCCCAAAAAAAAAAATAATTCTAATGAAACACCAACGAAAACAAAAGAACAAAATAACTAAAGCCAGTAATTAAAAAATGCCAACTAATTAGCTAAGTAAACTGAACAGAAATCGAAGCTAATCGTATAATTGATAAAGACCAGAAAGGGAATTATTTTAAAAGCAATTATCAAAGAAACAAAATATATCTATCGTAAAATATTAAAAAAACATAAATAAAATATTGTCAACGAGAATATTAAAATGTAAACATCAAAGTTACATTTATTTAATTCAGAGTAAAATAAATATAGAAATATATTATTGGAACTGATTTTAAAAGATGTAATTATTGATGATATAATAATCTCTCTCTCTCTCTCTCTCTCTCTCTCTCTCTCTCTCTCTCTCTCTCTCTCTTCATCGATAAGTAGACCAGAATAATTAAATCTCACCTTCTCCCTTCTCTCCCCTTGTCTTCAGGCCATTTCTCCCGTTCTCTCTGTCACCTCAATTCTCTCTCCCGGTAGTAGAAAGTTGACAAGTATAATTACATTTTCTCTCTCAGTACCTCTTTTATTTCCTTTCTTTTATTTGTCTTCTTTCTTTCTTGTTCTTTCTTCATTTTCTCTTTCAACCAATATTTTGTTTTCAATTTTTCTCGTATTTTCTTTGATTTTCTCTCTTTTTCTTTGTTAATTTCTCTCTCTCTCTCTCTCTCTCTCTCTCATCTTTCTTCATATTTATTTTTTCCTTACGTTTCTTCTAACTTTACAAACACACCTTTACAAACACACCTTAAAAACACACCTTAAAAACACACTTTAAAAACACCTTAAAAATACTCAAAAATATAGCAATAAAATGGAGGTAAGAGGAGACAGCTTTCAGAGGCGACATATAGAGTAGAAAATATTCCACTGGTAAAGTGAGACAGTTACTGGGATGAGATGTATGTTACGGATACACACACACACACACGCACACACACACACACGCACACACACACACACGCACACGCACTCATATCAATATATAAAAAAATACTCATAAAATGCAATAGGTGTACACGAGAGAGATTTATGTGCACACGATAGAGATTCATGTGTACACAAGAGAGATTCATGTGTACACGAGAGAGATTCATGTATACACGAGAGAGATTCATGTATACACGAGAGAGATTCATGTATACACGAGAGAGATTCATATGTACACTAGAGAGATTCATGTGTACACGAGAGAGATTCATGTGTACACGAGAGAGATTCATGTGTACACGAGAGAGATTCATGTGTACACGAGAGAGATTCATGTGTACACGAGAGAGATTCATGTGTACACGAGAGGTCCTGGCTGATAGGGAACATGTTGTGGCGTCCATAGCTTTATCTTCTCTTCCATTTCTCTTTCTCTCTCTTTATCTCTTTGTTTGTCTGTCTCTTATGTATGTATGCATGTATGTATGTATGTATGTATGTATGTATGTATGTATGTATGTATGTATGTATGTATGTGTGTGTGTGTGTGTCTAATTCACGACATAAACACGAGTACTGACTAACACAACCCCACAACCCACAACCCACAACCCACACTGACCTACCCTCTCTATATAGCCAGTAACGTAACTTAGACAATATATAGTTAATTGCCTATTGAATCTTTAATCGTTATTCGTCCATTCAATAGTTATGTTTTATGATTACAGAATTTCCAGATAGAATTGAATTTTTTGGGGTTTTTATTGTGCCATAAATTTTTAATACGGGTTTAATTGTTTTAGTGTAAAGAATTGACAATATTAGAGGTGGTGTGTTTGTAATAATAATAATAATAATAATAATAATAATAATAATAATAATAATAATAATGATAATGATAATGATAATAATAATAATAATAATGTAGATAAAATGTAATAAAAGTCTAATTAGTTCAGGCATATATTCTATTACCCATTAATCCAGTTACCCCATTAACGAATATACACCCATTACTTTTTTTTATCCATCAATCCATTACGTTATCTACTCATTTTACCCATTAGTATATTAAGTCATTTCACCATTAAAATATTTCCTCATTTACCCATTAAATCTTTACCCATTTTCCCCGTCAATCTATTGCCCCCTTTACCCATTAATCCACTTACCCATTTACCCATTACACCCCCTACCCATTAACACACTCACCCTCACCTCATATCTATCAAATCAAGAAGAAGAAAAAATGACATGGAAAATCCTGTCTAATTTACATCAAAACACATGACCAAAAAAACATCATTTATTTTCGCTGATGTTGGTAAAAAAAATCCGTAAAATCGAATTGAAAAAAAAAAAAAACATTGCATTCAATTTGGATGTATTTTTATTTTATTTTTTTTACATTTATGACATATCACTCACATCCAACTAATGACTAATATATTAATACTGGGAAGAGCAAAATACAATTATTGTGGTAATTATGAAAACAAAAAGATGGTTCGTTTTTGTGTGGTGATTTAATGGCCTGTTTTAGTGTTGTTGTTATTGTTATTGTTATTATTATTATTATTATTATTATTATTATTATTATTATTATTATTATTATTATTATTATTTATTATTATTATTATTATTATTATTATTATTAGTGTGTGGTGTGTCAGTCTGTCCGTGGTAATTCTAACAACATTAATACTATACCCTGGTGTGTGTCAGACTGTCCGTGGTAATCCTAACAACATTAATACTATACCCTGGTGTGTGTGTCAGATCTGTCGGTAGTGGTGATAGCCGCCTGGGACGCCGATGACGTCTCAGAGGGCACCAACGCCAGGATAACTTACACCATCCAGAAGAACGTGGTGTACGAGCCGACGGGGGAGGCCATCTTCTCCGTCCAACCCGAGACCGGCCTCGTCCGTACCTCCATCTGTTGCCTGGACCGAGAGACAACACCTGAATACGAGGTCCAGGTAGTGGCCACAGATGGTGGAGGTCTTCAAGGTGAGTACTGTGAGAGGTATGGTCCATTCTGTGTGTGTGTGTGTGTGTGTCCGTATGAATGTTTGTGTGTCCATGTGTGTCTGTGTGTCTCTATGTACGTCCATGTATGTATGTGTGTGTGTGTCTGAGTGTCCGTGTCTCACCTCAGGCACGGGCGTGGTGGTGGTGAGGCTGGTGGATGTGAACGACAACTCGCCCCGCCTGGAACAATCACAGTGGGACGTGGAGATAGACGAGACCTGGGGCCCTGGACCTCCTGATGACTCCACCCTCCTTCAGATCACCGCCCTCGACGCCGACACCTCCAACTACTTCTTCTACAGAGTAAGGACTTCTTCTGCAGGGTGAGGGGTTCTTCTACAGGGTGAGGGGTTCTTCTACAGGGTGAGGGGTTCTTCTACAGGGTGAGGACTTCTTCTACAGAGTAAGGACTTCTTCTACAGGGTGAGGGGTTCTTCTACAGGGTGAGGGGTTCTTCTACAGGGTGAGGACTTCTTCTACAGGGGGTTCTTCTACAGGGTGAGGGGTTCTTCTACAGGGTAAGGAGTTCTTCTACATAGTGAGACACTCGTACTACAGAGGAAGACATTTCTATCAGTGAGAAACTTTTAGTGAGAGAAAGACACCTTTAATTAAATCAGCGGCGACTGTCTGCTTAATGAGGGACTTATTTTTAATGGGGTCCTATTACCCCTTGAGTACGATGACCTAAGCTGTGGTGGAGACAGATATTACAGGTGTTGAGGCAGGTGTTACAGATGTTGAAGCAGGTGTTACAGATGTTAAGGCAGGTGTTACATGTGTCGGACAGGTATTACAGGTGTTGAGGCAGGCGTTACAGGTGCTGAGGCAGGTGTTACAGGTGTTGTGTCTGCTGCAGGTGGTGGAGGCCAGCGGGTGGGGCTGGGAGCACTTCGGCATCAGGTCTGTGGGAGCCGAGGGTCAACTGTTCGCCCTCCAGACACTTGACTACGAGGACGACACCCACCGGCGAGGCTTCAAGTTTATGGTGCAAGTGACGGACAGGGTGAGTCTTACACACACACACACACACACACACACACACACACACACACACACACACACACACACACACACACACTAAAACCAACGATCTTGACTTAAATTGTGTGTGAGTGAGTGAGTGAGTGAGTGAGACAAAAGGCCTCACTCTCAGCTAACCCTCCCCGTTTCTCCCTCCCCCCTCCTCCTCCTCTCCAGGGTCGCGGGGGATGGAGGGACGCTCGCCACATGGACGCCGCCTGGGTGTCCATCCGCCTGAGGGACGTCAACGACAACCCACCCAAATTCCACCGCCCACACGCCCACGTTACTGTGAAGGAGGACGCCGCCCCTGGTACCCTCCTGGCTGCCCTACCCGCCCATGATCCTGATATGGTGAGTACGCCCACACGCCCATAACTTTGACATGGCTTACACGGACACACACACACACACACACACACACACAACTTTGATCCCCTACACGGCAGCCATCACCTAAGCATCCCGTCATTCATCACTGAAATTAGTTTTGTCAACAGCATCAACTTATTAAGCAAAGGTAAAAAAAAAAAATCCGAAATGCCATAAAAAGTAATATTTGTTTACAACTCTGACGTGGAATTAGTGAATGAATCTCAGTAACGATCAATTCTATTCACTTTTATTCAACTAGTGAAGGGAAAAATTATTAATGAATACTGAACGAAGTGAATGACATACGAAGCATTTAGAGACGATGGTTGGGATGGTATTTGTCCTCTATGGTTAATTTGTTTTTTAATATATTGTTAATCTTCTTTGGGAGGTTCTTAAATAAAGCTCGTGGGAACAGTCGTATGATGGCAGAGTCTTTTTTACACACACACACACACACACACACACACACACACACACACAATACCTAACAGAGCACCGTAAGACCTAACTGACCTCGCTAACAAGCTTAACTCAATGGCCGACGAAAATTTCCCAATTGTTTCACACTCCAAAAGAAACACAAGAGAATTTTACCTGTGGTGACGTAGCCAGAGCACTGCCATGACTGTGTTAGTTACTCCTGGTCATTCATCCACTCCTGTTGTTGTGTGTGTGTGTGTGTGTTTGTTTATTTGTTTGTTTATTTACTGTTGTTTATTCTGGCGGGTTATTAATTGTTTGAAGACGATGACATAACTCCATAAGACTTACCGGTCACTGGGGCATAGTGTGTACAGGAGACAGCTTGTGCTCCCTCCGTCAGGTAGGTACTGACACTGACTCACAGACTGAGACATGGTTGTCCCCCCCACCCGTCACGAGGCGCTGCCCACAGTACCGTTAGTGACGTCTTGTCCACCACTAGTTATAATAAACACCAGTATGTGACCTGTTGACCTGTCATCTGTGTACCACAAGTTAACACCCAGTATGGTGTGTGTCCCGGCCCAGGGCGGGGTGGGGGAGGTGCTGTACCGGGTGGAGGGCGGCTGGGGCGCCCTCACTGTCGACTCTGAGGGAGGAGTCAGCCTGCGTCGAGCGCTGGACCGTGAGGCTCCTGACGGCGCCATAGGTGTGGCTAAGGTCGTGGGCGTGGACCGTGGGCGGCCGCCCCTCTCTGCCACCGCCACCCTCACCATCACCGTTACCGACGTCAACGACAGTCCGCCCGTCCTCCTGCCGCCCACAGTGTTCCACGTGACGGAGGACGCCGCCCCCACACTGCTCGGCTCCCTCACCGCCACCGACCACGACGTGTGGGCGCTGGGCCACGGTCCGCCCTTCAACCTCTCCCTGGCGCCCACCAACCCCGCCCACGTCCTCGCCCACATCAACCTCAAGTTTGATCCTCGTGAGTACATAAAGTTTGTTATTAATGTTGTCACGTTGTTGTTGTTATACAGCATAACTTAATATTGCTGCCGCCTCTTACAGTGCTCCACCCTAGCCTCTGGCCACACACACACACGCGCACACACACACACACACACACACACACACACACACACACACACATCACCTGCCGCTCACATTTTAGTTTCTAGGCACAAATATTATCAAAACATTATATAATGAGCCAATAAGACCTAATGATAATTGTCTATAATTCAACAAAAACTGACGATAATTGTTGACGTAATTAGAAATAAAGACTGACGGACTTTCAACAAATTTCATCCAGTTTTCAGAAGCAAAATAAATACAATAATTAAATAAAATCTTGGTACCAATGCTGTAACAATAAGAAGTAGACAAAGTAGGACTTGTTTTAACCTACCCTAACCTACCCTAACTTAACCTACCCTAACCTACCCTAACTTAACCTACCCTAACCTACCCTAACCTAACTTAACCTACCCTAACCTACCCTAACCTACCCTAACCTACCCTAACTTAACTTAACCTCCCCTAACCTACCCTACCCTCGCTCAATTAAAATCAGGGCAATTTCCTAAAAGTAATAAAACACAATAACAATTCAAATAGTAATTCCTTCATAACTAAAAATAAAAAGATAAGTTAAATAACATCAACGTTCATCATCTCGCGACACTCTCACTAACTCAAACTTCATCGATAACTTTTCCTCACAACACACTCGCATCATTTCTCCCGGATCTCTAGCCGGCGGGAAGCTTGACTCAGCTCTGCCGCTAACCAAAGGACTGCGATCAATGGAGGAGATGCGGGGATGCTGTGGAGTCCTTCAGTGAAGTCCTACCAAACCCTTCCCTTCCCTTCCCTTCCCTCCCTCTCCTTCCCTTTCCCTCCCTCCCCTTCCCTTCCCTTCCCTCCCTCCCCTTCCCTTTCCCTCCTCCTTCCTTTCCCCTCCTTCCCCCCTCCCTTCCCTCCCTCCCCTTCCCTTCCCTTCCCCTAAAAGAACTCATATGATGGCTAGCTGCCGTAAAACCTCTATATCAAGGGTCCGTTAGATGTAAAAACCTCCATTTAACGGATTATATAGAGATGGAAATCCGTTAATATCGAAGGTCCGTTATATATGAAATCCCCATCTAACGGATTATATATAGCTAGAAATCCGTTATTGGGAGGTTTCACTATATCTGGAGTATTCGTCCAGTAATGCCTGAGGCCATAGTCTCAAAGGTCCGACCATTAAAAATTTCTCATGACTATAAAAAAGTACCTAACCTAACCTAACCAAACTGGCTAACATAATATAAAACTACAAAATATACCCAAACTACACAGAGACAAGTTATACTAGAAACGTTCTCTCAGCACTAGGGTGAGAGAACGAGTACTGAGGAGGTTTGTGAGTACCGCCGGCACTAGACAGCTATGTATACCCAACTCACAGCACTAGACAGCTATGTATACCCAACTCACATCACTAGACAGCTATGTATACCCAACTCACAGCACTAGACAGTTATGTATACCCAACTCACATCACTAGACAGCTATGTATACCCAACTCACAGCACTAGACAGTTATGTATACCCAACTCACAGCACTAGACAGCTATGTATACCCAACTCACAGCACTAGACAGCTATGTATACCCAACTCACATCACTAGACAGCTATGTATACCCAACTCACAGCACTAGACAGTTATGTATACCCAACTCACAGCACTAGACAGCTATTCCTTTGATAGTTATTCTGTTCAGGTAGATATACACCACACATCACAAGAGCCTGGCAGCCTGACATACTCTTACAATGATGAAACAGATTGACTCACATTCTTACCACGCGAGTCCAGGTTATGAAACACATGATGAACACAGTCTTAATTATCAGACGCTTTTAGGTGTATTGGTGATGGTGTGTGTTACATCCTGTAGGGGGGTGAGGGGTGAGTGTTACATCCTGTGGGGTGAGTGTTACATCCTGTGGGGTGTATTTACATCCTGTAGGGGTGTGTGTTACATCCTGTGGGGTAGAGTGTGTGTTACATAAGGGGTGAGTGTTACATCCTGTGGGGGTGTTACATCCTGTGGGGTGGTGTGTACATCCTGTGGGGGTGTGTGTTACATCCTGTGGGGGTGAGTGTTACATCCTGTGGGGGTGTGTGTTACATCCTGTGGGGTGACATCCTGTGTTACATCTGGGGGTGAGTGTTACATCCTGTGGGGGTGTGTGTGCATCCTGTGGGGTGAGTGTTACATCCTGTGGGGGTGGTACATCCTGAGGGGTGGTGTTACATCCATCCTGAGGGTGGAGGTTACATCCTGTGGGGGGGTGGTGTTACATCCTGTGGGGGTGAGTGTTACATCTGTGGGGGGTGTGTGTTACATCCTGTGACATCCTGTGGGGGTGAGTGTTACATCCTGTGGGGGGTGAGTGTTACATCCTGTGGGGGGGGTGAGTGATAAAAGGAATCTCTCGTGTTTATTGGATATTTTCGTGATTCAATCCCTTTAGTTTCCGCCCACTTCCCTCGACAGGAGAAAAAAAATGATTCGTAATATTGGTAAATGTTAAAAGTTCATGGCTTCCTGCAGACGGGAGGAGCCAAGAGTGGTAAAGGTGGTGTTTTTTGTTGTATTTTTTTGTATTTAATTTGACTATGATATTCTACATGTAATTTCTGGAGGTATTTCAGACGATGGTTGAGATGAGAATTTTCTTGTTGGTCTTAAATGGTTGTTTGTGGTGTGTGGGTGTTTCTCTCTCTCTCTCTCTCTCTCTCTCTCTCTCTCTCTCTCTCTCTAATTAACTAACCTCACCTCTTAACTTGTCATGTGGCAGACCTGGACAGTGGACGGGGAGGGGCGGAGGTGTGGACAGTAGGCGCCGTGGACAGGGAGGAACACCGTCAGCTGCTGGTGGGGGTGTTGGTGGCTGACGCTGGGGGGATGGCCGCCACCCACACCGTCACCATCATCGTCGACGACATCAACGACAACCCCATGAAGCCCGCGGCCAAGACCGTCTACCTCTGGAAGACTCAGGTGTGTTAATTAACTTTACCAACAGGTGGAGGGAGTCAGGTGTGTCACAGGTATGTTATTAGTTCCAAGGTCTCACAATATTTACTTGAATTTTTACTTTTATATATAACTATATTTATATGTACAGTCGCCTGCACTTACACCTGGTACAGTATCTGATGCATTTTTGAGAGATGTAGCAACTCTGTGTTTGTTTATCTAGCAATCTTAGTCTAGGTAATATTGTGAGGTTCCTTTGGGTATTCTGGGAGTTTTAGTTCCATGTAATCAATGACAGAGTTGCCACATCTCACAAAGCGCACCAGCCACTGTACCAGGTGTAAGTGTAGGCGACTGGAGCTATGTATAGAGGGTACAGTACATGAGCCAATGGTGTTGTGTGCCTCAGGGCGGGGGGTCGGAGGCGCCCCTGGGTCGGGTGTACGTGGAGGACCCGGACGACTGGGACCTGGCTGACAAGACCTTCCGCTGGCAAGGTTCTCCTCACCCGCTCTTCTCCCTCAACACTCGTACTGGTGACATCTTCGCCTCCAGCCAAGTCAGAGCCGGCAGGTAAGTCTCCCCGACCCTCCCTCATCTCCACCTTTCCCTCCATCCCTCCCCACCATCACCTCCACCCATCTCTATCCTCCACCATCATCTCTACCCCTCCCTCCCTCAGGTCTCCCTCACCTCCACCTCTACCCCGCCACTGCTCTCGTCTCCTTATATAAACAGAATAAAACATGACTGTCCGCTTCGGAATGGTCTGTAGTCCCTTTGAACCTCTGTTTTATTGAGCACTAAACCTAATAGGTATTATCCCTAGCTTTAAGGTGGAAGAAAATTAAGCCTTTTAGGTCTGGAGCCCCACGGATCACAGACGAAAGAAGAATAAAACAAAAGACTATCTGTATCACATCACTCTCTTGGATCATAGACGAAAGAAAAGTAAAACAAAAGACTATCTTTCATATTACTCCCACGGATCATAGACGAAATAAGAGTAAAACAAAAGAATATCTATCGCATCACTCCCGCGGATCATAAACGAAATAAGAGTAAAACAAAAGACTATCTATCGTATTACTCCCACGGATCATAGACGAAAGAAGAAGATATAAAACAAAAGGCTATCTGAAACAAAGGATCGGATCTCTTTCTTGTCGATGAACGTCTGAGCTGTTAAGGATTGAGAAGGGCTTTGACTAATCACCTCTGAGACACGGGAGAGCTACTGACAGACTCACCACCACGACCTGTCACGCCCTCTGACACACACACACACACACACACACACAAACGCGGAAAATCTGTATCTTGGGTTTGGTTGTAATTTTCCGCTGGACATTTGTAATTGTTTCTGCTGTTTTAGATTGTATGTTATTATTGCTCTATATATGTATGTATGTATGTATGTATGTATGTATGTATGTACTTAAATTTGAAGGAATACTTTCAAGAACCGAACCCTTGCGGGTTTTTTTAATATATAATATTTACATTCGAAATTTTTTAACTGAATATGATAAAAAATATTAAATTTTATCTCTCGTGTCGCAAATTAATTCAAGAATCTTTCAAGAATTAATATATTTAACCAATTTTACTTGCTAATTTAATTATCGTTGCCAATATTAATTTATATACAGTGTCCCTTTTACACCTGGAGTGATATGTATCTTGGTTGCACACACCTTGATAATTAAATACCTGGTAATAACACACACACACCTGAAGTTCCCTCCCCGGGCCCTTGCAGGTAGAGTGATAAATACCTCACCTTCACACAGCCTTTCTAATTAGATATCTCCTGATAACATTCGCACCTGAAGTAATGAACCTCACTTTCTACACCATGACTTTCCGCCCCTTCCTCGTTTAACTTTCTCTCAGAACCTTTCATTAGGCGAAAGTTATCATCAACAAACCTCATTTTCTCAAGACATCAGGATCCAACTTTCCCCTGATGCTTGAGAAATCTGCCTGGTGGTGATGACTCGTGACCTGTGATCTATTGTGACCTGACCAATACGGGAGGTCAATCAGGCAGGTGTAGGAGGAAGGTGGTACACACACACACACACACACACACACACACACACACACACTGACATGGGTAATCTATTAAACTAAATTTATCGTCTCCTGAAAATCAAATTATTACCATCTAAAGTATTATGTCAGTCAGCTGGTGTTGCCCACATATATTAGATTCTACTCCTCCCGCCTCTCCCCCCGTACCTCCTCCCGCACCTCCTCCCGCCACACACTCAGAACAACACTGAGCAAGGAGTCAACCATATCATATCTTCTGTAGGTTAAAGGCAGTGTTAGACGGAACTACTTACTGAGGGGCTCGTTATGGTGTGGTGGTAATGGTGGTAGTGTTGGTAGTGTTGGTAGTGTTGGTAATGTTGGTAGTGTTGGTAATGTTGGTAATGGTGGTAGTGTTGGTAATGACATAGAAGAAAGGAGACACACACACACACACACACACACACACACACACACACACTTAATAACCAAACGCACTCTCTTAACGACAGACACACTCACACACACACACACTTATCTTTAACGAGGGGGAAAACGAACTGAAACATTACGAGTTTAACGAGAAGAAAAAAAAGTGACCTCGCTAATGGAAGGAAGGGTAAATTTAAGTGATCTGTGATTAATTGAGCGAACGAGATCTTTTGATACGAACAGGTGTGGTGAGGGTGTGTGATGAGGGCTTGGTACATTAATCACGGGACTTGAGGTGACACCGTGAAGGAGGCGCTGCTGGGGAGAGAGAGAGAGAGAGAGAGAGGGGGGGGAGGTAGAAATTAGATGAAGAGAGATAAAATAGTGGAATAGACAAGTAAAAAGAATGATTAAAACACACCACACACACACACACACACACAGACACATACACACCTGAGTCCTTCCTTTACCTGAACTTTACCAAATCTAATTAAGGTAAAGTTTGGTTATCTTAGAGGAGGTGCAGGACGTCTTACTCAAATCACCTCTACCATATTTACATAATCTTAGAAGGAATTTTAACACAAACCCCCAAAAAATTATACCTATTTAACAACACAATACTTCAGGGCTCAGTAAGGCTTAAACACACACGTATATATAATTAATTAGTGTTATATTATAGTTATTTAACACTTATAAGGAAAATATATATTGGTAACTATATTATTGTTGTTGTTATGAGGCGATGATAGATAGTGGTAGAGGTGTTTGTGGGAAGAGATTTTGAGAGATGTTATTTTTTTTATGTTATCGAGATATATGGTAATGAAGACCCGGCCAGTGACAACGAACGATTTCTTTAGGTTGTAGGAATCTCGTTCAGTCTTCTTAATGTGGTGAGGTGAGATACATAAGGAGTGCATACCAAACTTATTCTTCCTCTTCTTCCTACTCCTCCTCTCCTCCTCCTCCTCCTCCTCCTCCTCCTCCTCCTCCTCCTCCTCAGCAGAACCATCCATCATCACCTCCCTCACACTCTCAGCTCTCATAATGCCATTCAGGAATTCCTCAATGACCTCATAATCTTCTCATGCGTCTGACCCTCGAAATGTGATGACCTTTGACCTGCATTAGTAAAGATCTTCGTAGAGTTTCTTGTGTTGCTCTTTTGTTTTTAAAGGTGAGGATTGTGATTATTTTTCTCCCGTGTGTGTGTGTGTGTGTGTGTGTGTGTGTGTGTGTGTGTGTGTGTGTGTGTGTGTGTGTGTGTGTGTGTGTGTGTGTGTGTGTGTGTGTCAGGACCCATAAGCCAGGTGAGTGTCCCTCTTACAGGTATGAGCTTCAGTTCACGGTGAGCGACCATCTGTGGGGGCAGCGAGACGTAGCAGCCAATGTGACGGTAACGGTGAAGGTGCTGACTCCTGACGCCCTAGCCCACGCCTCCCCCGTCACTCTCACGCCCACTACGCCCGCCCACCTCACCCGGGGATGGACGCCAGAGGTGATTGTAAAGACTTTGTTTACTTATGATAATTAAATGAAAGTTGTTGATTATATGATTTGTCTCTTACGCTGTGGCTCTGTGTTTGTTGTGGTGGTGAGCAGCACGGCGGGGGCGGCCTGGGACGGGTGATACAGGGCGTGTTGAGGGTGGTGGGAGAGACCGCCCATACAGTAGAAGTGGTCAGTGTCTACACCCACCCAGATCCCGCCCACCTAGACCACCCTCGTCCACAACATCCCCCATATATCCCCGCCTCGACGACACCCACCAGACAACACCCACAAGTTCCCCGTGATACTCCTGAAGGTTGGTTAAGTGACCCCCAGCACGCCCCTTCAGCCTGTGTGTGGGTCAGCGTGAGGGAGACGCCAGCAGGTTTTATGGACCCCGTCAAGCTACAAGGTCTTCTGGCACTACACGCACAGCAGGTCAGGCACAGAGAGTCAATCGTCTTTATCCTCCTCCTCCTTCAGTAGTTCTCTTAACCCTCCTGAAGTAATAATCACAAGCTCCAGTAGAAGGTCTAGTCTCCTCAGTCACAGGATTAAATAGAGATCCTATAAATTAAATGTATATGATGTAAGATTATGTTGCTGTTGCTATGGTTATATGAATTTATGTTTGTTGGTTATGTTATATCTGAAACTGTCTCTCTGTCTGTCTGTCTGTCTTTTCCCTGCCGTATACAGCTGGAGGAAGCCACCAACCTGACGGTGGTGGTGGAGGCCCCGACGAGTGGGTCTAATGGAGGGGTACGAGGCCCTCCACATCCCTCCCTCCACCACGGCGGCCCTCCTGACCCCTCCTCCGCCGCCTCCCGTGCCTCCACCACCCTCCCTCTCCAGGTAATATATACAAAGAAATATATAACTCAGAGATGACGGCGGCAACACTACATTACATCACCAAATATTAAAAAGTTTGTTGGTAATTAAAAATATTGACTTTTAAGGGGAAAATATACAGTGATGCAAAAAAAAAATAACCAAGATTAGTTTAATGTTTTGTTTATTAAGATTTGATCATTTTTTTGCCGACTCTGTTAAAGATAAGATCATGAGTTAACTATCATATGAGACACTCTGTTGGATAGGGATGATTCACACTAACTTAAATTGTTTCTATAAGTTTATCTAGTTTATGTAAGACACGTACATGACACACACACACACACACACACACACACACACACACACACACACACACACACACACACACACACACACAGGTAATCAACACACTTCACCTCATCAACAGGTAGTGGACACCAACACGACTTCCCTGGTCACGCCCCTCCTCACCCGGGCTAGCGACTGTCACGCCCACGAACCTGAGACGTGTACGCCCATCTCCTGCCTCAACGGTGGGCGCTGCCTCCCTTCATCCAGCGGCAACAGGTGATGTATCCCAAGTACTCAAGTGTTAGGTTAGGTTAAGTCAGGTCAGGTTAGGTTAGGTTAGGTTACAGGAGAGTTACGGGAGATAAAGTTATGAACCCGGGAACTAACGAGGGAATTTTACCTGTGGCTTCTCCTCGTTAACCTTTCACTGTTGTTACTGTATACGCCACCACCACCTGATACTGTGAGACAGACCGAGAAACACACACAGAGACAGAAAAAGAGACAGATACAGAACGAGAGAGACAGTAATTGACAGAGAGAGAGAGAGAGATACAATCAGACAGACAGGTAAAGAAACGGACAGTTAGAGAGGAAGAAAAAAGAAAGAAAGAAAGAAGACACACAAACATAGAAGAACAAATAACCAGCAAGAGAAACAACACACTTTACACCGCACACACTTAACACACACTTAACACACACTTAACACAGAGGGCAAACTGTACATTTGGTGGAAGTGTGTGGGTGTGTGGGTGTGTGTGTGTGTGTGTGTGTGTGTGTGTGGGTGGTGTGTGTGTGTGTGTGTGTGTGTGTGTGTGTGTGTGTGTGTGTGTGTGTGTGGTGTGTGGGTGTGTGTGTGTGTGTGGTGTGTGTGTGTGTGTGTGTGTGTGTGTGGTGTGTGTGTGTGTGTGTGTGTGTGTGTGTGTGTGTGTGGTGTGTGTGGGTGTGTGTGTGTGTGTGTGTGTGTGTGTGTGTGTGGGTGTGTGTGTGTGTGTGTGTGTGTGTGTGTGTGTGTGTGTGGGTGTGTGTGTGTGGTGTGTGTGTGTGTGTGTGTGTGTGTGTGTGGGTGTGTGTGTGTGTGGGTGTGTGTGTGTGTGTGTGGGTGTGTGTGTGTGTGTGTGTGTGTGTGTGTGTGTGTGTGTGTGTGTGTGTGTGTGTGTGTGTGTGTGTGTGTGTGGTGTGTGTGTGTGTGTGTGTGTGTGTGTGTGTGTGTGTGTGTGTGTGTGTGTGTGTGTGTGTGTGTGTGTGTGTGTGTGTGTGTGTGTGTGTGTGTGTGTGTGTGTGTGTGTGTGTGTGTGTGTGTGTGTGTGTCTGTGTGTGTGTGTGGGGACAGGTGTTGATATACTAACATGGACTTGTATTAACGCTGTGTATAATATGTGTTAAGGATACATACATGTGTACCTGACGGAGATGTGTGTGTGTGCAGGTGTGTGTGTCCTGGGGGGTCGTGGGGGGCGCGGTGTAAGGTGCTGGGCAGGACCTTCTCTGGGGCGGGGTGGGCGTGGGTGAGGCCTCTCCCTCCCTGCCTCCCCACAACTATATCTCTTAAGCTCCTCACACGCCGACCACACGCCCTTCTCCTCTACTCCGGCCCCCTGGCACCCGCCCCACCACTCCCTAACCTCCCGCCCACGCCCATGTTGGCTCTGCAAGTGTGGCGTGGGCGGCCTCAGCTGCTGCTGGAGGGAGGCGCGGGGGCGGTTAAGCTGGAGGTTAACACCACAGTCAACGACGGTGACTGGCACACCATCCACCTCCACCTCCACCCTCACGTGAGTTAACTGTTGTAACTGTCACACCCTCCCCTTCCCCTCCCCTCCCCCTCGTGTTTATGTATGAAATATTTATATCCTCAGATTTGTTTACTTGTTTTAGAAAGTCTTCATTAAAACTAAGTTAATTATTTGTTCAGTCATTAAGAGTGTTGATATAACATTAATTACATCAATAAGAGGAGCCTCAGGTGTGGTGTTGGTACAGGGTGTGGCCGTGATGGTGAACGTGTGTGGTCACAGCCGCGGGTGGGACAACGACACACTCGACGACTCTGACTGTGTGGCGCGGGCGTCCTGGCCCAACCCTGAGGGCGTGGGGGCGTGGGTAGGGCCAGGTCCCCTCCAAGTCGGTGGGCTGGCCCACACGGCCCCCAGCCCGGCCCACCATGGATGGAGTGAGGCGCCCACACCCCGCCCACTAGACGGCTGCGTCTCACACCTCACAGTCAACAGTCAGGTGAGGTCATGACCGATGACGCTTGACACACTGTGACTCTTACACCAGCGGTGGTGGTGACGGGGGAGGCAGACGATGCCTCAGCTAACTCTCACGCAGCTTTATTGCAGCTGGTGGACCTGGGGGAGCCCGCCTACAGCAGGAACAGTGAGGGCGGCTGTCGGCCACAGGAGGCGGCCTGTCGGGACACTCGGGGCAGTTGTGGACACCAGGGCCAGTGTGTGGGCGGTCTGAGCCACCCTGAGTGTGAGTGTGAGCCAGGGTGGGCGGGTCCCTCCTGTGCCACGCCCACCGTGCCCGCCACTTTAGGGTCGTCGTCCTACGTCAGGTTGGCGCTGTCCTTCACGCCGGGGCCGCGGGTGGTGACGGCACAGCTGAGGGTGAGGACCCGCGGCACCCGTCACGGCCTTCTGCTGCACCTGGCCACACAACAGGACGCCTCCACCTTCACCCTATACGTATGTTGGCCGCCGTTACCTGTGTCAAGGTGTCTCATGTTGCTCCATATATCAAGATCCTGTTCTCTATTATTAGTGTGTGTGTTATACTCTACAGGTGCGGGGAGGAGTCATGTGTGCCACAGTGTCAGGGGCGAGGTGGGCGGCGCGGGTGGCCTGTGTGGAGGGGCGGCCGGTGGGTGACGGCGCCTGGCACACCGTCAGGGCTGAACGTCACGGACACAACCTGGTGGTGAGCGTGGACGACGGTGATGGCTGGCGACGTAACGAGTCTCTCGTCTCTTTGGAACAACCTGACGAAGAAGACGAGGGTGACGAGGACAAACACTTACCTCCTGACGTAGACTTATCTGAAGGAGTGAGTGTGGGCGGCATGCCGGAAGTTGTGGGCGTGGCGGTGGTCAACGTGCTGGATGACCTGAAGGGCAGTAAGTAGCGCTACAGCTGGTGTTCACACAACATGTCGGGTCATTCTGCTGTCACTTCTTTATCACTTAATAAATATAACGTGTTCAGACTCAGGCGCTATAAACTGTACTCATATTATATTACTGTGATAAACACCTCAAATATATCCTGTAATATGGTGCCCCCCCCCCGACCCCCTCTGCCGTGCGTCAGGTTGTATTGACGACGTGCGAGTATCGGGTCGCCACCTGCCGCTGCCGCCTGCCGTAAATGGTACCAGCTGGGGGCAGGTGACCACCTGGCAGAATGTAGAATCTGGCTGTAATGCCCCGGACGCCTGCCTCAACACCACCTGTGACGCCCCCCTCTCCTGCGTCTCCACCTGGGGCGCCACCACCTGCAGGTGGGTCTTGTCTCCAGCTGTGTACAACATTCACACGAACACCATCTGTGTATGAGTGTGGTAATAACACTACTGTTCACCAGCTGTATAAGTGTGGTAATAACACTACTGTTCTCCAGCTGTGGTTCAAGGAGACAGCTGGTGGGCCGCAGCTGTCAGGACCTAGACGAGTGTGTGTGGCGGCCATGTCTACACGGCGGCACCTGCTACAACCTGCGGCCCGGGTTCCAGTGTGTGTGTGGCCCGGGCCACGCTGGTGACCACTGCCAGTGGACCAACCTGGCCACCGCGGGCCACCCACTTACCGCCCCCGTGGCCATCGCTACTGCCGCCGTCTCTCTCCTCCTCCTGGGTCAGTGATCTTACAGTCAGCCTTTGTCTAAAAGTCTTTAAGCACCTTGACTACAGTAGATGATATTTGTAACACGTAATAACAATTATGTATTAGAAGTCCCATCAAAGACACACACACACACACACACACACACACAATGTTGAATAGTGCACTTGCCTCCCTCATTGTACACGTCTTACCCCTGTACACTTACCCATGTACACTCAGCATAACTATGAGTACACCATCAGACGCTCTAGCTAATGAGGTAACACCTAATAAGTCACCGTGGTGTTCATCCTACTGACAGTGGTGATGGGGTTGGTCATATCACTGAGACTGAGGCGACACTGGTTCCTGCGGGAGGCTGCTGGAGGTGAGAGCAGCCAGGAGGAGACGGTGGTGGAGGTGAAGGGCGCCACACACGACACTGACCAAGGAGATGCCCAACACAAAGCTTTTCTCGAGTGTTTACAGCTTAAGCTCCCTCAAGCTCAGTGTTCACCGCTTGGGAAAGGTAAACTAATTGGGTTTGTTGATGTTTCTAGTGTGTTGTTATATTAGTTTCTTGACAATAACCTAATGTAACCTAACCAAATTAAACTTAACTTAACGTAACCAAATTGAACTTAGCCTAACATATGTGTAGCCTAACCTAACCCAACGCAGCAATCATCACACACAGTCAGCATCGCCTCACGCTCTACTTCACTTTAGGAGAAAAAGTTGCCGCCAGTCAAGACAGTTCCTACACTACCGGTCTCCCAGTCAGTGCCAGTGTACCGAAAGCCACAGTAGTACCGGTAACTTCGAGTATACCGGGTGGCGTGGGCGTACCGGTAAAATCCACTGGCGTAATGAAAGGCGTGAGTTTGGTTGGCCTTGACCCTCTACCAGCCAAGGACGACCTCAGGGCTTATGCTTATGAGGGTGATGGTTCCTCCGCCGGCTCTCTCTCGTCTGCTTTATCAGGTCAGTAACCAGACAGACACTTAAACAACCATTAACCTCAAGTACCAGTTATTAGCGAGTCATTAGCAGCCAAATTTAGTCCTTGTAGAGAGATACGAGAGTAATCCAACCTCCATCACTGATAATAATCCACAGAGGACGATGTGTAAGGTAATTAGGAACACCTCTGTAGAGTGTAAGGTATAAGGTAATAGGTGAGGTCATTATAGGTCATTTATGTCGATGGTGGGTGTCGGTAGTCAATCAGAGATCTTGTTAATGACCCAAACAGTGACTCGTAAACACACTTGGCTCAAACTAAGCCTATTGTGGAGTCTATCATGTTAGTTATTATCACTATATTGGTTTTTTTATGTTCTATTCTATCATCTATTATCTGTAAACTTTCATTATTTTACCTGGATTGAATAGTTTATATAATAGTCATCTATCTACCGTGTCTGTTTGTCATTCATAAAGTTAGTTTGATATTTTTTTCATTATTTTGTTCATATTCCACCATGGCTTCTCCCGGGCAGGTCTGAGAGAGGAACAATCTGACGAAGGAACCATAAAACCAATAGTTCCTGAGTTCCTGGAGGTGATGGACTTACTCAAGAACCTACCAGAGGCGACGACGTCCCCTTTACTACTGACGAAACAAGATGATCAGAGCCTCAAGAGGACTAAAGACTCCCCAACAGCTAAGAGTCGGGCACAGAGTATAAGTCCGCAGTGTACGAAAGGCAAAATTTATTCCATAGTGAGTAAAGCTCTGAGTTCATCTCCTCCAGACACGACGCTGACACCCAAATCTTCCCCCGGACGCATCTCAAAAACTCGTGGTGAAGAGGAACAGTTAACAGTGTGTTGAGACAGACAGACAGACAGACAGACAGACAGACAGACAGACAGACAGACAAGAGAGACAGACACTGATGATGTTTAATAGAATCAAATGAAGCACGATAAAGATTCAAACTCTTACTTGGTTGATTTTGTAACCATGATGTAAATATATGTCTGGAGTATTAAATTTCAAAGTACAGGAAGCATTGATCTGGGCTGATCTACGCGATTCTCATCTCTTGGGGAAACAGTTTAACTACAAAATCAAACTGGTAAGAGAATTATTTATTAGTGTTTTCCTTCCTGTAAGAGTCGTGATTTGGTCCTTCATCACATTCACTAATTAAAAAAATATGTATAACTGCTTCCTTGGATATCAAACTACCATCACTGATCATTAAGCGCCATCACACTATTCACTGAGAGTTAATGCAAGACAATTAACCCACTCACTTAATTACTGCACCTTTTAAACTCCCTGCCATAAGGCCTTGAATTGCTTCTTACTACCCGCAGTACCTAAACATAACGATAGTCGTCTCACACCAAGTTGACAATCGTTTTAAAACACTGCCTAGACAACAGAGACAGGGTTATACAGTAAGTATCTTAGAGCGACCCTCACCCTCCTCGCTCCAGTGGTGACGACAGACTGGCTTCAAGGGTGACAAGAGAACCATTTTATAGAGATCTGAGAATGACGAACTAAAGTCAATTTTTAACATAGTCGTGTAGGGGATAACTGAGGCTGTGAAATGGTTTTGTGTCTAATTACTGTTTTAACTTTTGGTTTTTGTGTACACGTTCTACCTTTGTCAACAGAGGAAATGTATCTCCGACTATTTTATACGTTTATAGAATATCTCCATTATACTTATATGCTCATGTGAAGTGTTTATTATTATCCTTTAATGGTAGAGATCACCTGAAGATTAGACACCCAAGGTTTATTTCACCTTGGGATTAACATAGCGTAACCGAACATAGTGTAATCCTAATTTAACCTTATCTAACCTTATCTAACCTTATCTAACCTTATTTAACCTTATCTAACCTTATCTAACCCTCAGGTAGTGTTAGGGTGTTTGATCTTCAGGTGATATAACGTGTCACTGTGTTATTGTTTATGATGGAGTTTTGTGTGACAGGAATGAAATCAATATTATGACGTGTTAGAAAATATATGGCATAGTGTACAAGCCTTTACACACACACACACACACACACACACACACACACACACATGAAATATAGTAAGGCCATAAATCTCACAGGTGACAAAAATTATTACTAGCAACCGCGGGTGACCAGTTGGGTGAGGAGGAGGAAGAAGGGGAGGAGGAGGAGGAAGGGGAAGAAGAAGAAGAAGAGGGAGAGGAGGAGGAGGAGGAGGAGAAGCTGACAGGTGGTGAGTGAATGATGATGTTGTACCCCCCCCCCTGTTCTCTCATCTCATCCTCCTCACCTCCACCCCTCCTCCACTCCTCACCTCCACCACCCCCTCTCACCTCAAGAGAGAGAGTCCCCTTAGAGAGAGAAATAAAGATAAATAAAGAGACAAAACAAACGAGAGAGAAGTTGGTAAAAAAAAGTAACGCTGGGAAATTAAAAATAACACATCCACACGTCTCAACGCCCTGCCACCCTGACAACAACACCCTGAGAACAACACCCTAACACCGTGACAACAACACCCTAACACCGTAACAATAACACCCTGACAACAACGCCCTGCCACCCTCGACAGCGTAAGGTAATAACATAAAAAAATGGTTGGTCCCCTCACTTGTGGATGGCCGACCCTGACACCAGCTAAGCGTAAATGTGATCACCTTTAATTAATAATGATCTTACACCCCTGAGGACTCAAAAGGTTGTTATCGTACTCAATGGGTTAAGATATCGTACTCAAGAGGTTAAGATATCGTACTTAAGATATTGTACTCAATGAATACATAGATAGATAGGTATACGGGTCTGGTATATGACTTGTTATCTACGTATGAAAAAGGTTAATCCCATCGACCAATAAGAAACCAGCAAGGTAACGTTTAGCCAATAAGAGAGCAGCACGGGAAAACACACAAACTTTCGTTATGGAGTGAATCTTTAATGACAACATCGCTTTCAATCAGCCAATAGGGAAATAAGTTTGGGCAGTAAGACATAAGAGGGACCTTTTCTATTGGCTCTTAAAAATGACTCCTTGAGAGAGCGGAACTGTTGTGCTTGTTTCACCCACCTGCCCGTGTAGCTCGCTGATTGGCTGATAATTTTCGAGTAGTGACTGGATGGTTCATTAAGCTGTCAACAGATGGCGCGGGAAGGTCTATCACGAAAGTCTGTAGTGCACTAGGAAACTTACATTGTGGTGGATCCTGTTCTTCCGGAGGAGAATTCTGATTGGGTGACTATTCCGATGCTCATTTGCCATTGGCTGAATCTTCTTCCCATGCTGTTGTGTCGTTTAGTTAAAGGACTCCAACAATGGCGTATGTGAGTATTGTGTTAGGGTGATATTTGTTAACTCGTGGCCTTGGTGCTTGTTTGTGTTGTTCAGAGACAATGTTAGTGTACAGAGAGGAAGAAATTATAGTAATAATTCCATCACAGTAACATATAGACACATACACTCACACATGTACACACACATAAATGCACACACACACACACACACACACACACATATGTTAGGGTAGTAATTAATCATCAGGTGATATAAACTGGGGTGTATAATCTTCAGGTAAAAAAGATATATAGTCTTTGTTAAACTAAACCTTAACACAAGCACCCCGCGTTCACAACACAGGGAATTATTCTGCAAACACTGACGAGTGATTTGCATTGTGTGTTAAAATTGCGTCATCTGTTCACTTGTCAGGAAGATGGGGGGGGGCGGAACTGGGTGGTGAAGGAGGGGTGGCGAGGTGCTGGGTGGTGAAGGAGGGGTGGAGGTGCTGGGTGGTGAGGGAGGGGTGGCGAGGCTGGGTGGTGAGGAGGGGTGGCGAGGTGCTGGTGTGGTGCTGGGTGGTGAGGGAGGGGTGGCGAGGTGCTGGGTGGTGAAGGAGGGTGGCGAGTAGTGAGGGAGCAGTGGTTGGGATTTGGGTGGTGAGGAGTGGGTGGAGAGGAGCTGGGTGGCGGACAGCTGGGTGGTGAGGGAGTGGGTGGCAGGGAATTGGGTGCTAGGAGAAAACTCGTCAACACTGCCAGTCCTTCACACAACAGCTGCCCCGAACCCTGAACCTCACCTCACCTTACCTCACCTTACCTCACCTCACCTCACCTCACCTCACCTTACCTCACCTAACCTAAGTGAGGTTTTGATGGCTTAAGAGGTTATCATCATACTCAAGAGGTTAATTAACATTATACCTTACAGTACATCACAGAGCTAGAGTAGGAGGCTGGGTGGCTGGGTGGCTGACTGGCTGGGTGGCAGGCTGGGTGGCTGACTGCCCGTGTGGTATTAGTAGGAAGAAAAGTGTTGAATAATGTACACCATAATTAGTCTGGCGAGCATACGAAGTAATTAGCGCCATTAATCCTTCACACACACACACACACACACACACAGCATAATATAACAACTGCTGTTCATTAGAGGTGATCAAGCTGTACCACAAAACAGCATTAGGTCATTTATTTCAACATTACAGCAGCGGTGAAATAAGCACAGCGACAGTGACGAGGACAGTGACAGTGGTGAGGACACACACACATCCTTCCCTCCACGCTTCCCTTCCTTCATTTCCTCCTCCTTACTTTCCTCCTTCCCTTCCCTTCCTTCATTTCCTCCTCCTTACTTTTTCTCCTTCCTCCCCTTCCCTCCCTTCCTATTCCTCTATTTCCTTCTCCTTCCCTCACTTCTTCCTTCCTCTCCCTCCCTCCCTCCTTCTATCTCCCTCCTTTTTCGTTATCATTCCTCCTCCTCCTCCTCCTCCTCCTCCTCCTCCTAGTTTCCGCCAGTAGGAATTAAACGTAAAGTGAAAAACGTGTGTGTGTGGAAAAGTGATCTATAAGGAATGGAAGAGTATCAGGCTGTGGAAAGGGTGACGTTAAGGGGATTGGATTAAGGGGTTGTCGAGAGTATGAGGTTGTAAGGTTAAGGGGTTAGGGTTATAATCTAAGGGTTAAGGTTGAACGAAGAGGTTTGAGATTAAAGGGTCGACCTATCGCTCCCCTCACTCCCACCCCTCCCCCTCCCCGACCCCTCCCCGACCCTCCCCCCTCTTCCCCTACCTTCGAATGTTTCCTCTGTTGAGTGGCGTCGTCGGCTGGCTGATGGTGTTTGTGTTGGAGCAGTGAGGGAGAAACGGCCTCTCCAGACTTCATTACATCTAGAGAAAACGTGACGTCATTGAGGAAGAGGAGGGAGGGGGAATGGGAAAGGAGGAGGAATAGGGGAAAGGAGAGAAGAGGAATCGGAGAGGAGGCGAATGGAGAATAAGGGAGGAAAGGAGAGAAGGGAGAGGATATACTGGTGGTGTTTCAGCTCCCTTAGGTCCCTCCTTAAGGGTGGTGACGTAAGTGTATATGGGATCTCTTGTGCCCCTGTGTGTGTGTGTGTGTGTGTGTGTGTGTTTAAATAAAGAAAAACACACCTACTGTAGACACATCAGAGTACCAGAGTAACTACGACTTTGTTACTGAACCGTAGTTGAAGTTAATGAACCGTAGTTGAAGTTATCCAGAGAGACGCGTTTGTTACATTTACAGTAAAGGAGGAACAAAATTCACACGATCTTTTAGAGAATTGAGATAGAGGTTACGGTGGAGTGTGAGAGGCAGTAGAGGCAGAGGAATGATAACGTCACCCACAACAATGGCTCTAACTGACCAACCTATCCTGCCTGACCTGCTCTCTCTCTCTCTCTCTCTCTCTCTCTCTCTCTCTCTCTCTCAAATGGTCTGGCGGGCTGCGATGGACAAGGTGGTGATGGTGGAAATAGTCAGAAGGATGGTGGTGGTGGGGATGGTAGTGGTGGTGGGGGATGGTAGTGGTGGTGGGGGATGGTAGTGGTGGGGGGGGATGGTAGTGGCGTGGTGGGGGGATGGTAGTGGTGGTGGGGGGGATGGTAGTGGTGGCGGGGATTGCAGTGGTGGTGGGGATGGTAGTGGTGGGGGGATGGTAGTGGTCAGTGATGGTGGTGGGGATGGTAGTGGTGGTGGGGATGGTAGTGGTGGTGGGGATGGTAGTGGTGGTGGGGGGGATGGTAGTGGTGGTGGGGGACAGAAAGTGGTGGTGGGGGATGTGGCGGTGGGGGGATGGTAGTGGTCGGGGTGATGGTGGTGGGGGATGGTAGTGGTGGTGGGGATGGTAGTGGTGGTGGGGATGGTAGTGGTGGTGGGGATGGTAGTGGTGGTGGGGGATGGTAGTGGTGGTGGGGGGGATGGTAGTGGTGGGGGATGGTAGTGGTCGGGGGTGATGGTGGTGGGGGATGGTAGTGGTGTGGGGGATGGTGAGTGGTGGTGGGGATGGCAGTGGTGGGGGGGATAGTGGTGGGGGAATGGTAGTGGTGGGGATGGTAGTGGTGGGGGGATGGTAGTGGTGGTGGGGATGGTATGGTGGGGGGGATGGTAGTGGTGGTGGGGATGGTAGTGGTGGTGGGATGGTAGTGGTGGTGGGGGATGGTAGTGGTGGTGGGGATGGTAGTGGTAGGGGTGATGGTAGTGGGGGAGATGGTAGTGGTGGTGGGGGATGGTAGTGGTGGTGGGATGGTAGTGGTGGTGGGGGGATGGTAGGTGGTGGTGGGGGATGCAGTAGTGGTGGTGGGGGATGGTAGTGGTGGTGGGGATGGTAGTGGTGGGGGGGATGGTAGTGGTGGTGGGGATGGTAGTGGTGGTGGGGGATGGTAGTAGTGGTGGGGGATGGTAGTGGTGGTGGG